AATTCCTTACAACGTTGGCAATAAATATGCCATTTGAAGACTAGGAAAATTGGAATAAATCCTGAAAAGAACACTTAAAAGATATAAAGATATAAAAGTGTAATATTATTTATTTATTTTTGGTAACCGAGATGTCCAAATCAGTTAATGCACACCTCAACTAATTTGTTAGGTACATTGAACACTTTACAAGTTCAAAGAACTAAATAAACCATAATATTATTGTGATAAATAAATTCAAGATTTGAATTTAGGAACTCAAGAAATATTGTAAACCTCATTGACCAATAAACTCATCCCTTAGGTTAAGTGTAATATTATTTGTGAAACAGTTTTTAAAATAATTACAAAATTAAATTAAATTTTAAATTATTCGCGAAAGGACAATAAAAAATATACCCGAATGAATATAACCACTAATCATTTAGGCCTCATAATCCATAAATCAAATATTGCAAGGTGGAAAATGATTTTTCCAGTTTCCACATAACTGTGCGATTGATGAGTTTAATGTAAATGATGTAAATGTAAAGATATTTAATTTATAACCACATGTTGGGTAAGTGTTATAATCAAGTGAGTGGTTGAAATTCAGAGGCATCATTGACATTAAGATATGGACGATAGCCATATCCAAACCGTATATTAGTTTTCCGTTTGAAAATTATACAAGTTATTCCATTCAAAATAATTAGAGTATGATATTTGATCATCCGGTACTTGTAACTTGATATTACAACTGTGATCACGTGAAGTTAATGTTGCGTCTTGGTCTCCTAGATGCAGTGATACGGAAAACGTCCATTCGATCTAATTTCGTCTACTAAATTCCAAAATGACCAATACTTCCCTTAACGGGCCATTGGGCCATCGGTGTCTCCGTTAATTTTTTTTTTTTTTTTTTTTTTTTTTTTTTACCCATTTTGATCAATATTTTTTTTTTGCTAGTTGTCTTCGTAAACTATTAATACGAGATAACAACTTTTTCCCACCAACGGTTTAAAGATGTTTTTTCATCCATAGATTTTTAAAATATTATTTTAGTACTTAAAGTTAGTGATTTTCATGGGTGAAGAAGTGTCATTAGATCATTATTTGGGTAAAAAAAAGTCGTTTACCTTTATTAATACTATACTAAATTAATTGAGGCAAGGGGCTCCAGTTGAAATGGATAATTTCTTCAATGATTTTACCTAACTATTAGCAATATATATATATAACATTTCTATAGTTATACTTATAAAATATTATAAAATTTGGGTAGTTTGATTTAGATAACAAAATGGTATTTTAAAAGTTTATGGGTAGAGAAGTGTCGTTAGACCATTATTTGAGTGGGAAAAAGTCTTTTACTCTTATTAATATTATACTAAATTAATTGAGTCAGGGGAACTCCAGTTGAAATGGATAATTTTTCGATGATTTTATCTAACCATTATATATATAATAAAATATTTCTATAGTGATACTTTATATAGGACCAACTTTTATATAATCATAAAAACTTATAATCTCAATTTGGGATAGCTATAAATAAGAATAAATTTTACATTATAATAAATTATAATTTTTTTAATTTCCGTCTTAGTAAAATTGCATCCACATAATAATAATTTCTTATATTGTAAAAAAATATATGTTATGTTACATTAATTTTTTTTTAAATATAATATTTATTTAAAGTTGTTTGGGATAACGATTTATACTTTAGAGTTGTTATCACATCTTTTGATTTACAGGTACATTAAAATTGGAATAAATCCTGAAAAAAACACTTGAAGAAGATATAAAGAAATAAAAGCATAATAGTATTTATTTATTTATTTTTGGTAACCAAGGTGTCTGTGCCAACTTACACGTATCTCAATTAATTTTTGAGGTCTATTGAACACCTTACAAACCCAAATGACTAGATAGACTATAATATTATTGTGATAAGTAGTCTTAAAGTTTAAACTTTGAACCAAAAAACTCAAGGAATAGAGCAAATCTCTTTGACCGCTAAGCTCACCCCTAAGGGGATGTTTGGATTAGGGGTAAATAAGATAACGAGGGTAATATTTGTTTATTTTGCAAGATTTTTGTGTTTGGTTTGCAAGTAATAAAATAGTACAGTAATCTTTTATTGCAAATAGTGGTTGCTGTTGGTAATGTGAGAGGTAATCTTATTACCTTGTTAGAGGGTGTTATTAAAACATTACCAGGGTAATATGATATTTCTTCCTATTTTGCCCTTAATTAAAAACCATTTCGGACACAATTGCCCTCAAATATTTACCAAATAACAATTACCTAACCCTCTTACATTTGAAAAATTGGCTAAAACACCCCAACCACAAAAATAAATAAATTAAAAGTTAACAAAATACCCCCAACCACCCAAGACCATCGCCGGTCGTGACTCACCACTGCCAGCCGTCGGTGTTAGTCGCAGTAATGGTGCACGACCGGTGGGATTTTGCCGATCGTGCACCGGTAAGGCCTTTTCCGACCAAATCTGGGATTTCTATGGTCGTTTCATGACCAAAGATGTGGCCGTGAGATGACCACAGATCTAGCTGTGAAATAGCCACGGATTTGGCTGTTTTTCGGCCATGGATTTGTGATCCGTGGTCATTTCCTACTTTGCCAACGAACAGTAAGCCATATACGGCCAATCGTGTAACATTCCATCGATTGCTGGTGATGCCCAACGGTGGTGGCTGCCTACCGCAGTGGTTTGGGGAGGGTAAAGATGATTTTGCTATAAATTAAAGTTTTATATAGTTGTGATGTTTTAGCAAAATTTAAAATGTAGGGGGTTAAAAAAATGATTCAAAAAATAATAATAAAAAATACTATTATATTAATATTTAAAAATGAGGGTAATTTAGTAATCTATATAACATACCCATCCATTTATCCTCTAAACCAAACATATTATTTACCAATTTATTCGAACTAACCAAACACATTTTCTAAACATTTATAATAATTTTCAAGATGATATTTCTTTCCGTTAATATAATATACCTCTATAATAAAGTATTATATAATCTAAACACACCCTAAGGGTTAGGTGTAATATTATTTGTGAAACAGTTTTTAAATAATTACAAAAATTAAATAAAAATTTAAATCATTGGCAAAAGGACGATAAAAAATATACCAAAATGAATATAACGGCTAGTCATATCAGGCCTCATAATCTATAAAGCAAATATTGCAAGGTGGAAAATGATTTTCCCAGTTTCCACATGATTGTGCGATTGATTAGTTTAATGTAGATGATGTAAATATAAAGATATTTAATTTATCACCACATGTTGGGTAAGTGTTATAATCAAGTGACTGGTTGAAATTCAGAGGCATCATTGACACTAAGATTTGGACGACAACCAAATCCAAACCGTATATTAATTTTCCGTTTGAAAATTATATAAGTTATTCAATTCAAAATAATTAGAGTTTAATATTAGATCATGCGGTACCTATAACTTGATATTACAACTTTGATTACGTGAAGTTAATGTTGCGTCTTGGTCTCTTAGATGTAGTGATACGGACAACATCCATTTGATCTAATTTCGTCTGCTAAATTCCAAATGACCAATACTTCCCTTAACGTGCCATTGGGCCCTCGGTGTCTTCGTGAATTATTAATATGAGTTAAACAACTTTTTCCCACCAATGGTTTAAAGTCGTTTTTTAATCAATAAAATTTTAAAATATTATTTCAATACTTAAAATTAATAATTTTTGTTAATAATTAAAAATTCGTTATAAATGAGGGTAAAATAGTGAATTAACATTTTACATTTGAATTCTGAAATCAAAATTACATAAGACAACTTTCTTCCTCTCTTTTCTTTATTTCTCTTTGTCTATTACCTTTCTCAATCGCACCAGGCAGCTTTCTCTCTTCTCCTTCACTTTTATTTTCTTCCTTCTTTCTCTCTTCCCATTATTTCTCTCTTTACCCCCACCTATCCACCCGTTAACACAACAAATGTCAACTTCTTCCAGATCTAAGACAAGGCACGCCACATCTTCATCATTGTATTTTCGTATTATTATCTTTATGATTATTTCTTTTTTCTTATTTTCTAATTGCGATAATAACTATTAAAACAATGAATTGAAATTCTAATACATAATATTAAAACATGAATTATAAAACAAAAAATCAAAACAATAATTTTTGTAACTACACCTTTATTACATTATAACATTTTTATAATAATAAATTAGTTTAATCATACTTCAATCAACCATTACATAATTAATAAAAAAAAGAAGCATCGTATTCCAATTCCAAGTTCAGATTAATATTATATATGTATGTAATGGTCAGCAAGAATCAATAATGTTAATAACAAATGAGATAATAATGGTTGTAAACGTAACCTCTTGCAACAACCACGTTACGATTTTTATAATTGTTTTACCCAAAAGCTGTCCATTCCCCTTATTTTAATGAAAAACAGTCCATACGCTTTACGAGGGTCCAATCTTCACGGCCTCCGATCCCTCATTAAAAAAATGCTAACTAACCATATTCTTTATTTGGATGGAAAGCCTCAATTATAAATTAAAATAGTTAAGACCCCAGCCCATTCAATAATTTAAATAAATAAAGATTTAAATAAAAAGTTAGTATTTAAGGGAATTATTGGGTTGTCTTGTTGGGCGGCAAACGTGTGGCCCACCCGGACCCAGTACTAGGAGAGAAAACACGGCTCTTGGATGAACAATGCAAATAGTTCTGATGTGAAAAACAAGGAATACATTTTTGTGCATAAAATAATTAAAAAAGTAATGGACTTATATTATATGTAGTCCATTTAATACGAGTGATTATGATTTATAATTGTTTTGGTTGTTTTAACTTTTACCTCATAAATAATGAATTGAAAGTTATGGAGGACATAAGACACGCGTCAGTTTAGCACAGACACGAAGATAGTCCCTGTAAATAAGAGTAAACATGACTGATTCTCCGACGAAGTAACCGAGAATTAGAGACGTAAACAAGCTCTCATGTCTTTTCGCTTGCTTCCATGGACTCCAACAATAACAGCTCTTTTATAAGAGCTTTCTTCCATAATAATGTATCAAATCTCTTGTTTATGTCAATTTCTTCAAACTGCTTGGGAATTGTTATTTGATGCTTAATTTTTTATTGGTTTGTTTGACCAGAGGTCCAGCTCTTTATCAATAGCTGAACGGATCTGTACAGCTTGTATACCGTTCATAGCCATCATAGAGGTTCTAGTAATCTCTATCGTTGGCAGTTGCGAGAATCGGCAACCACCCAAGAAATGCCGCTTAGCCATCAGAGATCTGGCTCGACTCGCTAATGAATCTCGATGTAATTTTCTCCTCTACCTTTGCTTCTGCTTTTCAATTTTTATCTTTTAATGTGTTTGGTACTTGAGAAATTACAAAATTTAACACTATGTTTTTGCTTCTTATAACAACTGGGTTTTTAAATTTGACTTTTTGAAATTCATTAGTTTTTGATTGCTTTCTTCCAAGTTTTTATTAAAAAACTAAGGTCTAAGCATATTGACATAAAGAAGAGACTAATATCTTCTGGAAAGGTTTTGGAAAATTATTGTCTGCAAGTGATTTTTTTCTTTAGTTCGCGACTGGGATTTGAATGCTGGTGCTTTTGCTCATGCAGTTACTGTTAACGAAGTGGAGGCTTTGCATGAGCTTTATGATGGTTTGAGTTGTTCGATTATCAAAGATGGGTTGATTCACAAGGTAAATTGAAAATCTAAGTTTCTTGCCTTAAAATCTGCAGTCTAGAAGCTATGGTGTAATATTTTCTTGGTGTCCAGGTCGTTGATTAGTTAAGAACCTATATGACATTTGGACTTTGAATTGACATTACAGGACCTGGCATATTGACATTGGTTTTACAGTAGGATCTTGTGTTTTAATAGCTTCTGAATCATTCACTACTTCTCAGTTGATATATTTAACGAAAGCAGAACTATAAGAATTCGGCGACACTCAGTTATATTTGAAGCAAGGCATTGAAGGATTTCAATATCTGAGAATTTTGTGACAAATGTGGTCTCGGGTTTCCTTTTCAGAAGTAATTCTTATGTTGAAAAACTACTTTAGGATTTGGTTATTATTTATTTATTTTCTAATGTCTTATACCCAAATCCTACACTTTTGCATGACTCTAGATAAGGCTGAGCAAGCATCTCATGCTTCTTGTGTTATTCTCCCCATGGTGAGTGTGCAGTAATATTTTGAGTTAGAAAAATTGACTTTAAGAACGGTTGTTGCTTTTGGCAAGTTATGCTAGGTGCTTAGTTGAATCTGTTGGCCTACCAAGATGATGAGTGAAAGGCAAAAACACTGTTCATTGTAGAGATTTTTCATCCAAGTTGTGGATACGATTGATGGTAACTTGATGGAATTTGACTTAATGTTGAGATTGATAGAGAACCGTTTCAATTCTTTGTGTTAGAATCATATAATTGGTTCTATCTCAGTGTTTCATGTGTTTATCAAGTGGAGAAAACAAAAATATAAAACTGAATGTCTTGCATGTGATTCTTGGGTCATAGGTGCAATACTGGTTTCAAGAACTTGTCCCTAAAATCTTGGTCTGGATGATGATGATGTAAGAGCTGTTGAAAATAGAAAAGAAATTAAAGGATTTTAACACTGAACTGGCACATAAAAGGTGTCTTGTAGTCATTCTCACTTGTGTCTATTAAAGGCATCCTCTTTCATTTTGGGTATGCATCAGTGTTTTTGTTTGATTCTTTTTGCAAATAGTAATTTGTTTCTTGCATATTGATGTGATTATTGTTTACGATTGTTAACTTGTAGGAAGAGCTCCAGTTGGCACTCTTCCATACTCCACAAGGCGAGAATCTTTTTCTGGATCGGGTAATCACATTGGAACCATCTCTTAGAATTTTATCATGGTATGGTTATTGCTTTGACTTGATGCTGTACTGGAATAAACTATGATAGAAAGGGCAGGTGAACAACTGATCTAGCTTTTGAACAATTGTTATAGGGTGTGGGCGTGACTTGCCTGACTGAATCTTTTTCATTTGTTCAGTGCAGTCAAAGTGGAAGTTTGATATACCAAAATTAAAGTTTCACAAGTTTGATGTACCAAAATCAAGTCCACAAATTTGTTAGCAAACTTCATATGGTTCTGAACCAAATAATAGAAGTTTGCTAAAAACAAAAGTTTTTCTTTAGTCTTACACATCAATACATGTATACAACTGCTGCATTTGTTTTTGTAGGTTTTCGATCTTTTTGATGAAAAGAAAAATGGTGTCATTGAATTTGAGGAATTTGTTCACACACTCAGCATCTTTCATCCCTATGCCCCAATGGAAGAGAAAATTGATTGTAAGATTTGTAGAGAAAAAAATTTGGAATCATATACAACCAACATTTAGCTCAAGAAATGTTAATCTTCAGACTTTTTTTTTGTTTTGTTTGCAGTTGCGTTTAGGCTATATGATCTGAGACAAACAGGGTTTATTGAGCGGGAGGAAGTGAGTAACTGTTTGTCAGTAGTTGAATTCTGAAAACTGCTGATAACTGATGTTTCAGGGCACTTGTTGGCTTTTTAGCTAATGTGTTTGAAGAATGTTTTCAGGTTAAGCAGATGGTAGTTGCCATTTTGAATGAATCCGAAATAAAATTGTCAGATGACCTTGTTGAATCGATCATTGACAAAGTAAGCTATTCATTTTAACTTCCTTACTTGAGTCACTTTCTTGGGCATTTTGATACCCATAGCAACCCTGCTGACCCTGCAGACATTTGCTGATGCTGATACTGACAAGGATGGTAGAATCAATAAAGATGAATGGAAGGAATTTGTGATTCGTAATCCATCCCTTTTGAAGAACATGACTCTTCCTTATCTAAAGTATGTGAGTTGCTCCTCGTTGGAATTTGGTCGTTTTTTATCCTATGCTCCCTAATTGTTTGTCGTTCCTTGCAAAGCTGATTATTATGCTTATTTTAATTATTATCATCTTCCAGGGATGTCACGACGATATTTCCCAGTTTTGTTTTCAATACTGAGGTTGAAGACTGAAAATCCAAGATGCTTTCAACCTTGGTGATTTAGTACATAAGAAGCTGCATTGTATGTTATGGATTTTCTGCCATTTTGCTTCAAGGAGGCTTTGATCCTGCTAGACAATTCATGTGTATTGGGTTTTGACAAGGCAGCATGCCCTGATTTCATACAAACGAAAGTAGAACAGTGGGGATGTTCTTATCGACCTCTCAGCTACAGGCATAGCGTACAGTTTTAAAATGAGCTGAGTTGCTTTAATCCAAAGCATTGTATAGAGAGTAGAAAACTCGATTTTTTTAATGACTGTGTTTTGTATTAGATACTATTGTAAATTGTTTTTCCTGGTAATCTAACTCACCTGAGGCCGTGGGAGTGAAGATTTTTCTGAATGTTGAAGGATTGTCAAGGAACCTTAATACTGTCCACTTTGGAGAAATTCAGAATTGAGGGTTTTGATTGTTTCATTGCACCAACAACTCAATTTCCAAATTTGATCTTCTACATGTTCCCTATATAATATAATGTCATGAATTTGGATGCTCATAATCTGGTTATATTAAACTATCAAAATAAAATTCTAATATGTTGTCAACCACTTAACTTTTACGTTTTTGAAATTTATAATAATTCACTACCTAATCAAACAGCCGTGGGTTGCTTGCTTAACGATAGTCGACTCAAATAAAATAATCAATCAGTTCAAACTCATCATAAAATGAAAACTATTTTTTAAGATTTTTTTTAGAGAGAGGTTGTAAATAATATAGAAATAAAAATATCAAAATCAAATATAATTAGCTACCATTGATGTGGAGTGGTAGTGGTGGATAAGTGTATTATTTGAATATATTAATATGATAGTTATTAAGCTTTTATCTAGTTTAAATATGTTAGTACGATGGTTACTTAAGCTTTAATCTAGTGAATAATTGCAAGACAAGAGTAGTTCTGTCCGGACACCCGATGATTAAAATAAAAAAAAAATCAATATAAATTTAATCCCACCCAAATACCAAGGACGATTCTCTCTTCACTCTTGCTGCTCTGAATGGCGGACAAGCCAAGCAAAGCTCTGGTGTTGTACGGTGACGGGTTGCCCCGTTTCGTACACTCATCGCACACCCATCTCCACTCTTTTGCATCTAAAGCTTCCTGTGGCTTCTTGACCCTCCCTAATGCACCTCCCTCAGGTTTGCTTTTACCTTTTTTTATTTATTTTTATTAAATTTTAATATCGCACCTACAATTCCCCTGTTCTTTCAATTGTTTTACTTTTCCAACTGCATGTGGGATCAAAAGTAAAATAAGGAAAAAAAATAATAATACACCGAATTTTATGATTTAACCAAAGTACCTGCTCAAATATATCGAGCTAGCTCAGATAAACTTACTATTGGTGTTAATGAATGATAAATCATAGTAGTTTATTTCGATTTGTTGTAATTGGGCTTGTTTTTTTTTTTTTTTTTCCTAACGGCTTATTTGTATTTGATCTATTAAAGCAGCATTAGATTGAAACTCATTGATTCTATTATGACTATTTTGACATTCATTGTAACCGATTCCAGCCTACAATTCAAAGTTGTTACATCTATGATTGTTGGGATTTACTTGGATTTAGATTGCAGAAAGCGAGGATGAGCGAAGTGTTAGAGAGTTTGCAGTGCTGCTTGATGCATGCCAAGCTTACCTTAATATGGTGAAATTCTCTTTACTTTTAGTGATTGGAAACCTTAATTTCTTATAATGTACATCTTATAGTTCTCATTCCTGGCTTTTTCAGATTGGACATACTAGTGAACTAGAATGCCAGGAAAAATCTGTAATTCCAACTTTATCCGACAGGTGACATTACTTCCAGTTTTTGCTTGAAGTCTTGGTTTTTGTTGGCAAGAGGTTTAGGCTAATATTGGTCAACATGCTTCTTTATTGCAATACAGGTTCATGGGAATGAGAGCTGCTTTAATCACAGACAATTCAAGGATGAAATCTTTTGGTGGGAAACTTGGCTTTACTACATTGCAATTAAATGAGTTATGTGGAACCAACGACTCCCTGGCTGAATTATCAATAGACGTTTTGGCCAGTGAGATGCTAAAGTTGCTTGGATTTCAAGATGGGAAGATGGTGGAGGCATGCCAGTATGATTTAGTGTTTCTGCACATTGGGGCTGGTGAAAAGATGGTTCATGAGAAACAGAAGGCTGTTGCCAATGATGTGGAATATATTAATTCTTTGGTTGGTGGTATTATGCAAATAGCTCAACCTGGATCTGAAGTTGGTTCCCGTTTGCACTTATCTGTTCTTATGAGCTATGGGTGTGTCTCAGAAGCTGATGATTCTGATCTGTCAGTTTTGATTTCTACTGATGAAAAAAACTCTTTTCTTTCGAAGCTCATCCCTCATCAAAGTTACACCATGAAAGGAGAAAATCCCCGGAATGATGTTAGGTAGGAAATAATGTTGTCTATTCTTGTATCACATTTACATGTCCCAATGACTTTGGCTGATTTGTGATCAACAGGCACCATTGCCCAATGTTAATCGCTCAGTGGCAGTATGCTGTGACCCGCAAAGATATGGCAGAGAAATTTTCTTTTAAAGATTTTAAAGAGGTATACATTTAGATTATAAAATGTTATATTGAGCTTGCTTTTTTTAAATTATTAAAAATTCATAACATTCTGTTTAATTAACAATTATTTGAAGTACAAATTTCATATGCTCTTTGTAACATTACTATTTGCCAATGATTTCTAAAGTTAAATGATTTGTAATATTATACAGATTAGTGCCATTCTGTGCCATTCTTACTTTTTCATGAGTTCTTTGAATCATCCATCATAATATGCTGAACTTGTTATGGGATTAGTGTCTTGCCTGTCAGAAAAGGGCTAGTTTGATCCCTAAGGACTTCTCCTATCTTCTCATGCATGTTTATGCAAGTGTTGAATTAAAACTAGAAAAGAATAGTTCTGTTTCCTTGGTTAGTTTGTCCAGGATGTGAATTCATTATAGCAAATGGAGGATTCTAATCTGTTGGTTTTACTAAAAGGTGCTTTATTACTGTTAGTATTTTAAATTAATTTCCTTTCCAATGCAGCATGGTGGTAATCTCGTAATACCCGCTGATAGATTTCTGTATGAGGTAGCATTTAAGCTCTGGAAGGCCCCCAAGTATGGAGCATAAGATGGGAAATCTACTCTGGAATGGTTTCCAACTTTTAGATGCGGCAATGAAAGATAAACAAAGAGTTGTGCAGTTCCTGCTGATACAATTATTTGTATTTTTAATCTTGATTTCGTTTTGCAAAACCGATCTTGGTATAAAGACTTTTAGTCTCATTTGCCCATAGTGACGAGGGCCAACTAATGTCAGTGACGTTGTTGCAGTTTTTGATTTAAATCTAATAATCTATCATCCGATGAAATTTGATAGAAATGGGCATTATGAATTCGATTCTGTTAATTTTGAGGAAAGGTCAAAAGGCTACCAGCTGAATAGTTTAGCTTACTCGTGTATACATAAGCGTATGACTGAATAGCTGCTGTCACTCGGAGGCAAATGGCTTCATATCTGCATTGATGATTTATAGCACGTTTGTTGTTATTTTCAGTCCTATAGCATTAAAATCAAATTCCGCCAGAAAAAATGAAAAATATGGTGGGGTTTCCAGTCAGACTCAATAGATGCTGTAAGGGATACAAATCAAAATGCCAACCAGAACCAAGATTAAAGCAAAAAGATTTAAACCAAACGTTCAGTTTCTGTTCTAAAACAGATCTACAATTAGTTCAGTTCCTTGATGCGGAGTAGACTTTATACTGTAACATCAGCAAAGCTCTCCGCAGAAAACTTGCTGCATCTCTTTAGCATGTACTATGAACATAATTTTCAGAAGAAAACATTAATCTGTACCATCTTTGCTTCCTTTACAAAACATTAATAACGCAAGGACCAAGCACTAGCACTCTATCAGTCCTGTGACGCAATAGGTACCAAATACAAACCACCCTAAAAGGAGGAAAGAAAATGAGAACAGCCCAATCAAGAACGGCCAGCCCACCATCAATACGCCTATGCAGAGCACCACCACGAATGGAAGAAATGACCGTATAATTGACATGCTGTTAACCCACTGCCCCTTAAACAGTATTAAAGCTGCCACATTTATCATGTTCCAACCCATTGATCCACCGTAACAAAGCCTGTTCAGACAATTAGCAACGAAGGAGTGGCAGTTGCATGTAAATAGGTTGTAAGTTTTGTGCTCAAATTGTCGCACACTTGACTGTAGAGCATCATCCCATGTGATTGCTGTTCCAAATTCTGTGTGCTGATAACCATGATTGCATGCGTGCGCAGCCAGATTTGGGGGAAAGCAACACTGTTTCACATTTCAAATTCCACAACATAGTCAGTAGACCGGCTGGCAGTTTTAGGTAGTCATAATCATCTCTTTCATAAAGCAATGATGAATATTAAGAATTAAGATGGGAAAAAGTTATCTGAGTTTCGACATTAATGGTGAAATCACATTAATGAGAAACATAATTATTAATGAATTGCTCATAAGCAGAAATAGATGACTGTAAGAGCATTACTTCCCAACTGTTGATGATGATGATTGTGGTGCATCTTTTGAGTTTAATTGAGTGCGAGAGAGAACAATAATACACAATGAACAGCTTAGTTTGGGAGCCGCGCTATTAATAAATCTCTACCTGATTCCGATCAAGCTGAAGATATCTGGCCACAGCACCAAAAGCAAAATCATCAGCATTCACAAAGTTGGAACCTGAAAAATCCAAAATAATTCCATCCTCCCTGCAAATACCAACATGCCCCATGAAAGGTGCCAGCCACGAAACAACTGGGAGCGGAGTCCAAACTAAACAACATGGAAACCTAGCGGCCTTTGGATTAATCTCTTCAAGTGGCCACAGCTCGTGCTGAATTCTAGATGTAGAACTACTCATCAGTTCAACATCATAAGCTGCTTTTATATTTGTTGTAGAAAGTCCTCCCACTCCCCTTGGCATATGACCTTTTGCAATTTATATGACCTTTTGAAATTTACTGTGATGCAGTACCACTATGTCAAACTACTCCCTCAGACATAATGAGCTTGTTTCCGATAAGGGATACAATTGTCTCATAAAAATAGAAGTCTTATTCTGCAAGAAACACAGTATATAAGGACCTTCTAGTAAAAAAAATAATCAAAAGGGTGCACTTAAAAAATTGAAGACATTGCCTAGATCCCAATTACAGAGTATCAACAAAAAAATCCATGAAATCAAGAATTTCCATCTTCTAACCTGCAAGCATTTCTTAACGGCAGATTGCATGGTCGCATTCAAACTAGTAAAACAACCATATAAGCCATTTTAGACATTGCCTTTTTGTTTATTATTTTTTTTCCTAAGTTATTTTTCAACGAAATTACCCATTTTAGACATATATTGGAACCAAACACTTGAGAACTGAAGGCACAACATTCTAAATATGCTGATCCTCATTCATACTTGAATGACAAGAACTACAGAGAACACAAGCAGTGTTTTAGAACAATGCTGAGAAGAGCTTGTCTTTAGTAAACTCATTAAGCCTTTCAGTATTCCAATGGACATGAGACACGACACAATCTATGCACCCAAATCCATCAGATATCTGAACAATAAAATCACCAAATCATAAGGGTACCAAAGTTATACTACAGCGTTTCAGAGTATGACCATACTTCTAAGTCTATGTTTTACTCTGTTATATCAAGTGACTTCAAGCTATGAATATATACAGCATCTATATTGCCATTTGCCAACAAGATTCGACTTTTAGTATGCATTTCTAGCATGTTGAATAGATGGCACTACAATGGTTACATTCAAACTGACCCTTTCTAGTTAAGCCAAACATTTTATGACGAATTGCAGTCCAAATGCATTCTTCCCATTGGAGAAAGTTCTCTTAATGAATCTAATAAGATTTCGGCAAGTGCAGCCGGCGAAAGTCCAAATAATACTGTAACATCTTAAACTAGGACCTTTTCAGATAACACCAAGATCTAAGATATTTACGAAACTTGATTTATGATGCCAAAAAAAAAAAAAAAAAAAAAATTCTAAATCAGATCATTTTGATCTAGAAGTGGAAAAAGAGCAAAGAAAAGAAACTGTTCCCTTCTATGGAATATGATGCTTCAAGAACCCTTATTGCCATCTAGCTCTATCTTGGAGTAAGTGTAGGTTAAAACCTCTCAAATTCTTAGCTACTTCAGCTTAAATCAAATCACTCAACGTATCTTAAACAAAGTTCATCCTCAACATCCCATCAAAAATTGAAGCCTCAAAGACGGACATTACATAAAGAATGTAACTTACTAAACATATGAGGTGCAAAATTCCCCTTGCTTTCACGCAGGACATACTGAACAACTACATCTTCTACATTCAGAGACTAAAAACCATCTATGATCTTTAGCCTCGTCACGGAGAGTCTAATAGAAAAGTCATAATCCAAGATTCCAAAAATGCAGATATTTTCTTATTTAAAATAAATAAACAAATAATGTTTGTTTCAATGGAGAATAGTTCCCAGAAAATCTTCCATTTTCAGCTTCAAACGAATCAAGGAAAACATTAACAATTGCTCATTAAGTAGAAATCTTAATATCTATTTCCAGTTATCGTTGAAGCTTTCACAAGACCTTCATTGAATAATCAGATGGTTTCTCGCAAAAATTAGGCAATCCACCCAGTTCATAAATAATAAGCTGAAATAGATAAAAAATGAAAAATAAAAATAAAGGAGTCTTCAAGTTTCATATTTTGGATTTAATTTAGATCGTTTTCTCAGGAACCAAACAAAACCAAAATGATTTTCCTTCACATTACACATTGAAGAACAACAAGATCTAAACTCTAAAGTAAATGCAATGCGTTTGAATAAAAAGAAAGTGATGATTTGTTAGTAAACTGACCTGAGCAAAGAAGCAGAATCAAAGAAAACAAGTTGAATGGAAGGTCTGTATGGAAGAAGAAGAAGGAGGAGAATAAGAAGAAACGTTTGTGGTTGTGTAATTGTTTTTTGTTGTTGTGCATTCATGGTGGCAGAAACCGCTTTGATTATATGGTGACAAAAATCAAACTTGTAATTATTTTTATTTTTATAGAGAAAAATATTTTGTTTTGGAAATTGGATTTCGAAGAAGAAGATGGGAAAGTGGGAAGGTGCATGAACCAGACCCTGATTTAAAGATTTTCAGTTCACTAGTGGGACCCTCATGTATGTACCTCACCTCACCTTACTTTTCTTTCAAATTAATTGAATATTCTTAGAATGAGTTACAATATGCTTTTTTTTTGTTTTAAAAAAAATAATAATATTTCCAAAGATAAGATCCTTATATTTGTATTTATCTAAGTAAAAGATTATGTTTAATAACTTTATGATAAAATAATTTACCTAAAAAAGTGTTTGATGTAATGTAGATCTCATGCCTAACCTGATTGTAAAGTTAAAGGGTTAGTTAGAAAGTAGCCAGGTTAAATGAATCGACTGAAAACCAAGTATTATACATAATAAATGTTATACCTATTTTCTTTTGTTTATTCTTTATTAGAAATTTTAAATATTTGTTTTTGTATAATTCAGATTTGGTGGGTCCCCTCCCTAGTCCCCTACTATGAAAGTTGTGGTTACAAATGCAGTCAAAATGAGAAAGGGTGAAAAGGTAAATGACGTTCAATGTATCTATCAAACAATAAGGTTAGGTGGCACTCTCTTTTGTTGACACTTTGCTAACTATGTGCCATGCCATGCCCACGGGGTCGGTCGCTACCAATTACCAACTATACACGTTACAGCAGAGAAACCCTGTAAATTAACAAAAGAGTAAATAACATTATCCCACCCAAGGTTTAGTTAAGTAGCAAGTTTCGCCCCTGGTTTCATAAATTCCAGATTTTCACCGTTAAATCCTCGGAAAAAATAATCACCTTACTTTCAATAAATTCCTCTTACAAAATAATCATCTAACTTTTAAATTTATTTCAATAACGTCTTCTTCTTCTTCTTCTTCGACCTTCTCACCGTCCATATCTCCACCCGTCCATTACCAACCCTTCGTAAGCTCCAGAGAAGTTTCTTTTGTTTTTTCTTCGGGATTCAGAAACTCCTAACAAAATGAGAGTAATAAATAAAATTATACAGTAATGGCAGTTTTATGATTTTGGTTAGCCTTTGAGAGCTGGCTCATAACAATTATTAACTACTGGACAAAGCAATCTTCATCAAAACTCTACAGAAACAGAAAGCAGCCAGCTCTGCTGGTTAATTTATTTAATATGAAACTTGCAAACGATCGAAGATCTTAATATTGAAGCGATCAACACTTTAATTGATGTGATTAATCAGTTAATTCATTTGCTTTGGGGCCAGATTGATGGCCTCTGCTTCAAGTTCACCGAGCTGTGAACATAGCATTTCTTCAGCTTCCTCCGCCAAACGCAGCCGTTCCAGACTTTCTGAAGCTCAACTCTCGTTTGTTCTTCTCTTTCTCGGCTTTTCTTCGACTCTCTGTCGAGCTCTTCGTTTCTCTTCTTTAGATCTTCTTCTTCTGTTTCTTTAATGTTGTTGTTATTCTTCTTTTCGACTCCTGTTGCCACTACCATTGCTGCAATGGAGCCATTTTTTATTGGTGAATTGAAGACGGAATGATTTCTCCTCTTTTGATTTGGTGCTCTAATGAAGATGAAGTGCTCTTTTATTTATAGCCTATTGATTGTTGTTGATATTTGATTGCTGTTGTGTGTAATTACCTGGTCGCCGGCGACTTCTCATCATTTCCAACCTTCCCACTGCCAACCCGCTCACCACCTGTTTGACAAAATTCCTCACCCGTAGCCACCGCCCAGCCACTTTACCATTGAGATGTGATGGGTTATTTTGAAATTTTTATTTCCATTTTAGATTTAATGGATGCAAATGATCACTTTACCCTGTTAATTAAACGATTTTCTGTTATTTAAGGTTGGGAATCCAGAATTTACGAAACCTGGGTGGAAACTTGCCATTTCGCTAACCTTAATTGGGAACATGTTGTTTACTCTTAAGAAAATTGTCCCGTGTATTTAAATTTTACAATAGGGTAATATTATTACAATCTAATATCGTAACTTTTTCTTTTAAAGGTAGTAACTCATAATTGACTAGTTTCTAAATGGGTTTTACCTACTTGTTATGAGTCTGTCTACCTATTTACGAACTACTATCACATTAAAAAAGTTATTAGGAACCTAGAATTATTCTATTGTAATAGCCATTTTAGATTTTGATTTCTACTAATTGCAAGGCATAAATTACAAGTCTAAAACCAGGAGCCGAGTGGGCAATATATAGTGTGATTAATTTACATTTTCAGCCTCCCACCGAAAGATAAAATCAAACTATCCTGATTGGTATTCAAGAACCTGGACATATATGAAGTATGAACCTGCAAGAGATGACGTTGTTTCAGGTAAACCACCACTGGACTTCATTCACATTCTGATTTTTCAATATAAAATCACCAAAATTTTCAAGTTTCCCTGTCTTGACTTTAGGCAAATGACACGTTATTCCATGGTCAGACTGACTCACCCAAATTACAAGACTAGTCCTTTACACTACTATAATGTGTCTGCATTTGACCCTAAAAAAGGCCATCAGCCCATTCCATTTTGTTTTTTATTGAATTTAGAGACAAATACATTACTCCCTTTGTCCAAGAAAGGTTAAGAGTTTTAGTTCAACCGTCCATCTTCACATTCAATGTATCACAATTTTTTTTCCCCTTTTCATCTTTATACAGAAGAGAAACTTTGTCAGCTGGTCCACCGCCATTACCACAATGCACCAAGCAACCATAATGTGTCTGCATTTGACCCTAAAAAGGCCATCAGCCCATCACTACTATACCGTTTCGTTGATGTTGCTCTAAATTTCTCAACCTCTACTTCAGATTTGAAAGAATTATTCTTTTTGTGATTGTCACATCAACAACAAAATGCTGGTCAGTTTTGCCTCTGATGATGAAAACCAACGAAGGGCTATTATAAATATATTTTTGGTAGAGCAATAGACAGAACTGTACATAGAAGGTATATGAAACACGGTGTTGAATGTATATACTGGACTGTACAAAATAGTGCTTTCTTAATGACTAACCATCACGAAAGATTTGATTCACCGTTCACCACAGAATGCATCTGGCTCAAACGATCTTGCAGAATCATCGTTATAAACACCGGGAATGGCTCTGCCCCCAGATTCTGTAGGTGCTAAGTAGGATCCCTTTTGACCTCCCTCCAAATTCATGAGAAGAAGAGCACAAACAAATAGTGACGCTCCAAGTGTTACCAGAGTATACTTCAATCTGCTCAGCACAGGCTTCACCTGCAGGAGTAACATAAGACAAGGCTCTTTGATTAGTTTGTAATATGAATTTTTCTAGGATGAGGTTTCTTGTCTAATGCAAACGCAAACTATTATCTGCTATCCCTAAAATTGTGAAAATCAGTACACATCAAAAGTTTTCAGAATTACAAAGAAACAACCAAATGATGAGTTCTTAGACATGAGGGTTCTTTACATTTATCTGAGAGTTTTAACTTTAACAGCCAACTGAACACACAGAGAAAAATTTGTTTACTATTTGTCATTGCCTAAAAGGGATTAAATCTCCACGCCATTTTAGATGTACACAATATAATATTTCAAATGCCATTAAGCAACCAGCATGCCCAAGAACATTCAGAATCCAATCAATCCAGCCCTATCTCAGTCCATGACAAGAAGCCGCTAATATTTAAGTTGAAATATGTCATAGATGCTGACAAATCAAGAAACACATTTCCACTAGTTATTTGAGACAGTGCTCATCTAGTCAGATCGTATTGGAGGTTGAGCAAGACATAAAGTCATAAAAATATTCTCTGTGTTTCATTTTGGCCCCAGAGTAAGCAAAAGTCATAAATTTCCAATTTCCCCACAAATTCATTTCATAATGGCGAGAGGAAAATAACGCAATGATTATCAACTTGGTTCACAATGATTACCAAAATGATTTCCACCAAATGCCAATCTAATACATAACCAAACGCGTAGACTGTTGACTACTTACTGAAAATGAACCTAGAAGCCGGTCACGAGCCAAAACTTCAGCAGTCTTCACCCATATCTGCGGGGGAAAAATGTCACATCTTGAATATTGCAAATTATCCATAAAAGCATTTGCATCTTAATTCCAAGCTAAATTAACAAAAAAAAAAAAAAGGAGGTAAATTGAGACATCACAGACCTGACCATCGTACCACCCAGTCTCTTCATATTCAACAGTTGCACTTAGCAACCTATTTCCCACGTAGGCCCAACCCAGATACATCCTAACAACAGCAAGAGTTACCACAAGAATCCCACTTGAAACAGCCCCAAAAATTCTCTTCAAAGGCTCTGAGTCAGCCCCCACAGTACCGAACCAGGCGACCGGAAGAGCAACAAAAAGAGAAAAAGAGGCGCCAGTAACGAACAAGCGAGAGCAGAACTCAACCAAGTCACCCGAAGCCCATGAAAAAGGGAAGGATGTTGAAAGATCTTGGTACTCGTTTATGGGCTGCTGATCTGCTGGAACAGGACACTCTGTTTCAGGTAGGGGCGGGATGTTGCCGCCTTTTCTGCTCCTAACTGTAGACGAAGATGAAAAGGGGGTTTTGGGAATTATATATTTGAAGCGGTGTAGAGTTGGTTTTGGTAAGGAGATGGGACGGTAAAGGGAGAAGGGTTTTGGTGAAGCGTGGAGGAGGATTGCCATGCCTCGACTTCCTGTTCCTCAATCAATTTTCCATCACTTTATCCAAATTCCAGTTTTCAAAAGATTTTTTTTTTTGCTGGGTAATTGCCACAAACTAAATAACGCACCAACCAAAAAAAAAAAAAAAGTTGTTGACCGGAGATAAATAATGGGTAATACTACACTTACCACCAAATTTCACAAAATTAACATCACTACTCATAACGTTATAGTTTAAAATTCTGACCAATACCTTCATAAATTTTAATAGTACGAGTTTAAGTTAAAGGTTCTGGGAATTTCTATTAATCAATTTGCTCATCAAAATGCAGCCACCACTCAGCACAGCAGGGACTGAAAAGTAACAATAATTTCTTAAAACAATTAAAAGTTTTCAATTCAACCCCAATTAAAAAACGAATACAGAAACATATCAAATGCGGACAAATTTTTTTCTTCTTTTTTTTGTTTTCACAACTTGCAGAGATCGTATGTTTACAATTCCGGAGTTGGGATTGCTTACCCAAACAAGACCCCCACAGATACGAGTATTTGAAAATTTAAAAAAAAAAAAAAAAAAAAAATTATTTTTCTTTCTTTCCACTTTTTTAAAATTTTCTTTTGAAACTTTTACATTTAGATTGAGTGATGCTACCTATTTGCAGTTTATGCTAATAATGGCGGAACCTTTCGATGTATCCTCCACTGCTCTTATACAGTTGCTTGACACGGAGGATCTCCATTCATTCCTGAATGGGTTGTGTTGAGCCCCCACTTTGATTGAACCAACACTTCCCTCTCCGGTATTCTCCTAACTTTCTTTATATATATCAAATGAAAAAACTTCTAGCTGCTCTTGCTCTTCGAGCCAAGATACAACCTCTTTCAGGTATTTTATTACACCAAATGACTCTTCATCTCTCACAATTCATCTGTAGAGTTTGATCTATCCACACACAGACGTTGCAGGCGTCTCAGACGGGCCATTAGCTCTGAAAAAGACGGCCGTAAATGTGGCTCCCTGCAAAAGCATATTAAACAAACAGAAAACCAGTTATTGAAATGAAAAAAGCCAGCTGTAAATTAAAAAATCATTAAAACAGAAAGGATTATTATCATTATATTTACGATTGCGAGTAACTTGCTAAACTCTGCTACCCAAAAATCAAGAAATCTACATTTACTTTTAATCTCATGTCTCAGTGGGTTTTCATAGATAAAAAATTAAAATTACAGAGATTTTTTATTCCTTTTAGATGCTACCACGATAGCATGAGGTTCATAAACCCTAACGATTAATGCAAAACATGACAGTAATCTGATAGGCAAGGAAAAATAATATGAAATTCTACAACTTACGTTTGCCAACAATCACATATTATCTGAGCAACTACTGGATCAACGTCCTCTGGGATTTCAAGACGTCTATTTTGGAAACCAACAGCTCCAACCACCTGCATTGGGTTCAAACCTTTCCAGGGAATTCGCAAGGTAGCCAGCTCCCACAATATCACACCAAAACTGTACACATCACATCTGCAAGCCAGCCAATTTGGTTGCATAAGCGTAACCAACTACATTCCAGATAATGTGTCAAAACCCCTGAATTGAGGCAGATTATACAAATTTATTGAATTCACTCACTTTTCATTGGCTCGTTCATTCCGTAAAACTTCTGGCGCCATCCATTCCGGCTGCAGTGCAACAGCAAATTCTCAATGCCATGTGTTTACATAAACAAGATGGTTCTTTATTATTGTGCTAAGAAAATAACATGAGACTACCAAAAGTAGACACATATCATTTGTTCAAAGAGTTACCGTTCCAGCCGTAGATTTTGAAGATAGAAAAGTGTGGTGCTTCGTGCGTGACAATCCAAAGTCACAGACCTACAGATAGAAGAAAAACAAGATTTAAAACAACTAAATTGATTTTCAATCACCAAACAATAAGATAGTCTGTAAAATATCTAAATGACACAGTACGCATAATAAGGCAAAGTTGGAATGCCAAAAGTTTATTTTTAAACCTTTACAACCCAGTTCTTATCGACAAGAAGATTTGGAGATTTTAAGTCTCGGTGCACTATAGTAGGATGGCTTGTGTGCAAGTAATTCATTCCCTTGGCCTGCAAAGAATAAAGAAGCTTTTACTCAAAAAGGAAATACACAAAGGGAGCAGGGGAGAGCTGGAAGATCTGAACCATATTGAGGAACTAAAAAGAAATAAAATTTTCCAACTTATACCACATCGAAAGCCATTCGCGTTCGCCTCTTTTCATCAAGTAGTTGGTTGGGACGATGCAGTAGCCTATATAAACTCCCTCTGCGTACAAATTAAAATTAAAAAGGGAACAAGAAAACAATTGTTAATTTACAGGATAAAGAACCATCCATTTTTTAAAATTTGAAGAAACCTCAAGATGATATAACATAACAGGCAAACTATATTTATCAAACAAATGGGAAGAAAACTCTCTCAAGCATTAGAACAAACACGGTTACAGTTTTTCATATAAAGCACAAACTATATAAATGCACAGTGGTAAAATGCATCTACAGCAGTGGCTGGGGTTCGGGTTTATCATCTACTGCTAACAAAAGAAAATGCCTGCACTTAAAATGCGCACATGCAAAACATGCATATGACAAGCTTAAATGGGTGCATTTTATTTACTTTCTTTGGGATTCATCTAAAATCCCAAGAAAACAATGACGATAGTTTATAATGCTCATTGAATTCTTGATACCATGAAGGCACAAGAAGGTAAATGGTACTGAAAAATAATGGTACTAAATGATGATGCAAGTTTCTTATATATATATATGCCAAGTCAGCAACTTTTAAACCATTGGAGTGCATTAAATTAATGGATAAAAATTTGTCTTACAATAGCTTGACCTAAGATATATATATATATATATATATATATAATGGAGCTTAATTCATCAATTATTGAAACAGAAACCAAAATGTTAAAAAAAAAAATTAACCTAGGAAGGAACTCTGTCAGTATTGAGAAATGTGGAGGGTGAGTAACAGCTCCCATAAAAAGGACAACATTAGGATGTCTCAACCTCAACATGATATCAACCTGCAGAAAGCCAGAAAAAAAAAAAAAAAAAGGGATTCAATTTAAGAAAATGATTATCAATTGTTTGGCTCACGAAAGAAAAACATAATGATAACAAGTTGATATCTAGTGCTTACTTCACATTTAAACTGCATCAATGCATCACCAGAGAAATCTTGATCCAAGAACTTCTTCACAGCAACTTCCTGTCAAGCAAAACTGCTTTTTAAGATCAACATGGACCAACAAACAGCTAAAATGAAATAACCAGTGAAATTCAACATCCAAGTATTTCTTAAGACTGAACAAGTTACATACATGCTGTCTCCAATTAATAGATAATAATTCAATAGAAAATATTACTTTGGCAGATATTATGGAAGAGTCGCCCATGCAGCTGAAAGATTTTCAACTTGCCACACATTTAAAATGATCGCAACAATTTATTTCATGCAGAAGGTCACATTTTGCAAAAGAAAGATGGTGAATATTACCACATTGGAAGTCTAATAACATCCCAAAATTTTGCATAAATCACGATCATTGCAGTCGTTAAGGAGTTCATGTGATATTATGAACAATGCTGTTGCTAGAAGTCCCAACAATTAATACCATAGAATAAAGGATGAAACAAAAAATAACTTACAGTGCCATTCCAATCTGCACGGTAGACCTCACCATATGAACCTGCATATTAACATGTCAGTTGAGACAAAATCTGAACAGCCATGCCAAGCCAAAGCAAGCACCATATCTTACCTCATATATATATACACGCTCAAACATGCATGTTTAACCCCAATAAATGGGATAAGATCCAATATTGTACCATGAAAATAAGACTTCTGACCCTTAACCATAGATGAACATAAACCAAAAATACAATTATCCAGAAGGCCTGTCCAATCTGTTTGGATAGATAATCAAGACTCTGAACAGTCGTCTAGGCACCTCCTAAGGCAAATCCAAGGTATTGGTAGTGCCACAATAGTGCCAAAAGGCTAACACAAGTTTAGACAGGTAGGTTTACCAAAAGAAAAGAGTGGTTTCATCAATTGAATTCATTTTATTCACTTTATAAATCCAAACCATTCTTACTTTCTTACTTTATTTTAATTTACAATAAAATGATATAAAGACATCCTAATATGTGACAGTGAGACATGCATTTCAAAACAGTATCACGACATGCACTACCTGAAGTTATTTAAAAAAAAAATAAAAAGATACAAGACTATCCTTATCAAAAAAGATGAAATGTTGTGTATATTACCATAAGATTGCCGTCTAAATAAAATTATTGACAGAATGAAAACTTACCAATCCCAATGCGTTCACCAATCTGAAGATCCTCCCACAGAATTTCCCATTCTGCAACCTCCATCAACAATGGGTTAATCTTGTCACTGCGACCATTGCAAGTAATAGGCAGNGTGCACTATAGTAGGATGGCTTGTGTGCAAGTAATTCATTCCCTTGGCCTGCAAAGAATAAAGAAGCTTTTACTCAAAAAGGAAATACACAAAGGGAGCAGGGGAGAGCGGGAAGATCTGAACCATATTGAGGAACTAAAAAGAAATAAAATTTTCCAACTTATACCACATCGAAAGCCATTCGCGTTCGCCTCTTTTCATCAAGTAGTTGGTTGGGACGATGCAGTAGCCTATATAAACTCCCTCTGCGTACAAATTAAAATTAAAAAGGGAACAAGAAAAAAATTGTTAATTTACAGGATAAAGAACCATCCATTTTTTAAAATTTGAAGAAACCTCAAGATGATATAACATAACAGGCAAACTATATTTATCAAACAAATGGGAAGAAAACTCTCTCAAGCATTAGAACAGACACGGTTACAGCTTTTCATATAAAGCACAAACTATATAAATGCACAGTGGTAAAATGCATCTACAGCAGTGGCTGGGGTTCGGGTTTATCATCTACTGCTAACAAAAGAAAATGCCTGCACTTAAAATGCGCACATGCAAAACATGCATATGACAAGCTTAAATGGGTGCATTTTATTTACTTTCTTTGGGATTCATCTAAAATCCCAAGAAAACAATGACGATAGTTTATAATGCTCATTGAATTCTTGATACCATGAAGGCACAAGAAGGTAAATGGTACTGAAAAATAATGGTACTAAATGATGATGCAAGTTTCTTATATATATATATGCCAAGTCAGCAACTTTTAAACCATTGGAGTGCATTAAATTAATGGATAAAAATTTGTCTTACAATAGCTTGACCTAAGATATATATATATATATATATATATATAATGGAGCTTAATTCATCAATTATTGAAACAGAAACCAAAATGTTAAAAAAAAAAATTAACCTAGGAAGGAACTCTGTCAGTATTGAGAAATGTGGAGGGTGAGTAACAGCTCCCATAAAAAGGACAACATTAGGATGTCTCAACCTCAACATGATATCAACCTGCAGAAAGCCAGAAAAAAAAAAAAAAAAAGGGATTCAATTTAAGAAAATGATTATCAATTGTTTGGCTCACGAAAGAAAAACATAATGATAACAAGTTGATATCTAGTGCTTACTTCACATTTAAACTGCATCAATGCATCACCAGAGAAATCTTGATCCAAGAACTTCTTCACAGCAACTTCCTGTCAAGCAAAACTGCTTTTTAAGATCAACATGGACCAACAAACAGCTAAAATGAAATAACCAGTGAAATTCAACATCCAAGTATTTCTTAAGACTGAACAAGTTACATACATGCTGTCTCCAATTAATAGATAATAATTCAATAGAAAATATTACTTTGGTAGATATTATGGAAGAGTCGCCCATGCAGCTGAAAGATTTTCAACTTGCCACACATTTAAAATGATCGCAACAATTTATTTCATGCAGAAGGTCACATTTTGCAAAAGAAAGATGGTGAATATTACCACATTGGAAGTCTAATAACATCCCAAAATTTTGCATAAATCACGATCATTGCAGTCGTTAAGGAGTTCATGTGATATTATGAACAATGCTGTTGCTAGAAGTCCCAAAAATTAATACCATAGAATAAAGGATGAAACAAAAAATAACTTACAGTGCCATTCCAATCTGCACGGTAGACCTCACCATATGAACCTGCATATTAACATGTCAGTTGAGACAAAATCTGAACAGCCATGCCAAGCCAAAGCAAGCACCATATCTCACCTCATATATATACACATGCTCAAACATGCATGTTTAACCCAAATAAATGGGGATAAGTTCCAATATTGTACTATGAAAATAAGACTTCTGACCCTTAACCATAGATGAACGTAAACCAAAAATGCAATTATCCAGAAGGCCTGTCCAATCTGTTTGGATAGATAATCAAGACTCTGAACAGTCGTGTAGGCACCTCCTAAGGCAAATCCAAGGTATTGGTAGTGTCACAATAGTGCCAAAAGGCTAACACAAGTTTAGACAGGTAGGTTTACCAAAAGAAAAGAGTGGTTTCATCAATTGAATTCATTTTATTCACTTTATAAATCCAAACCATTCTTACTTTATTACTTTATTTTAATTTACAATAAAATGATATGAAGACATCCTAATATGTGACAGTGAGACATGCATTTCAAAACAGTATCACGACATGCACTACCTGAAGTTATTTAAAAAAAAAATAAAAAGATACAAGACTATCCTTAGCAAAAAAGATGAAATGTTGTGTATATTACCATAAGATTGCCGTCTAAATAAAATTATTGACAGAATGAAAACTTACCAATCCCAATGCGTTCACCAATCTGAAGATCCTCCCACAGAATTTCCCATTCTGCAACCTCCATCAACAATGGGTTAATCTTGTCACTGCGACCATTGCAAGTAATAGGCAGGCCACCATTGGTCATTTCGATTGACTCTACAGTAGATTCTGTACGCAAATCAGGGTAATCGAAAATCCTTTCCATCACTCTATTATCACTGACCAAGGCATTTTCAGGGTGTCTTTGACAAAACTCAGTTGCAGGGGGCAAGGGAGATCCATGAGTTTGTTTCTCATGCAAAGCTCTAGCACCAACTCCACAGGGGTTAACATGAGCAGTATCTACACCTGTAGGATCGGTTGGTAATAGTTCATTAGCTCTATCGCCAACAAGAACAAATCCATCACTTGTGGTAACAGAGGACAAAGAAAGTTCTGATTTAATGACATTAGGTTCCTGTTCTATTTGGTGTTCAGCAAACCACTCAGTTTGCTGTTTCTGTTTATTATCATAATCTAGATCATTAGATGATTCTACTCCAACTGAGGATAAAAGTCTTTCACGGCTTGACAAAAAATTATCTGAATGGCAAAGAGCATAATTATCTACAATTTTCCCGTTCGCTAGATGGAGCACCTTCCCTTCACCTGGATCCTGTGGGTTAATATCCATAAACAAATCTGGAGGAGGCGATGCACCACTTTCTAACAAAACAGCATGTAATTTCTGTGCAAATTCAGGGTTCTTTGCCGCACTAATGACATATTTGGAAACATTTTTAACTTTCTTCTTTTGCGCAGAGCATGGTTTTCCAGAAGTGCTGGATGAGTTGTCACACATTTTACGTAATGAGGGAAAAAGATTCCCAAACTCTTGCTCAAATCTCTTGGTTTGTTTATTATCAGCAAGGTGTAAGTCATCTTTACTTGTCTGCTTACCTACATATATAGCATCCTCTGACATTGAGCTGCCAACTTCAGGGATACTATCCAGAACCGGTGAAACAGCCAGAGTTTCAGTTTGTTTGTCAAGCGCCAATTGAGAAACTCCAGAGGTTTCAGTATGATCAGGGAAACCCCTTGCATCTAATCCAGCATTTTGGAGATGATTGCTGGGTACCTCAGCTGGAATTAAGGTTCCAGGCGCACCCATTAGATCAATAATGTATTCACTGCACCAGAGCAAACCAAGAAAATCAAAAAGTATTGCAACAAACCTTGATTATACAAATAGGAAAGAAGGGAGAAGCAAATCAAATAATACAAGACATGCATCTTTAGAAATTAAAAGAATAATACAAAAGGTAAACATAAATCCAACAACTTAAGAACAGTGGCTATCTAAGAAAATCAATTGTAGCCAACACATACCAAGGGTTAATTAATGTACATACAGAAAACCGACAATGATTCATGCTTTATAATATAAGAGAAACAGAAAAAAGTCTCAAATTAATGTCCATTACTTTGTAGTAAAAGTTTTAAAGCATTTACACAAAATCTTACCCAAGATAAATAGTAGAATTACATCCAAAATAACATTCTAGCAAAATATACTTGAAAATATGTTTCGAATCCATTTGGATCTAACATAATACCATGATACATATATAAATCAAGAGAACAAACCAAACATACACCCGAAAAAAAAAAAAGCCAGTATCAAGGATATTGGCATACATCAGAAACATTCATGAATGCAAATTTGAAGTCATTACCATCCATTATCAATTCTGATCAAGTTCACAGCTCCATCATCAGTGCCAGTATAGCAGCTTCCTTTGACCAACATACATGGAAGACTGATTTTATCAGCTAGCACCTAGCAGTAACACCATGAATTTAATTATTAAATTAAACCAATGTTTCTAAAAAGGGCAGGAAACATTCTCAAATTAAGCTGAACAAAAGGGAAGAACACTGAACATTTTTGCAAATAATTCAGACTGATAACCAACAAACTTAAACAAAATGAAGGTACTGAGGACACCAATTGAAGGTGAATAAAAATTGTTAATGACTAAGCTTAATTTTGAGAATATATATATATATATATATATATATATAATAAAAAAAGTTAAAACCTTGAAAAGTAGGGCCCTGTGACGTGAAAGTCCAACATCAAGATAACCAAGGGGAAGAATGTTTGTATTCAGAAGATTCCTTAACTCAGTACGCCTTGAGATCCACCTTCTACACATTTCATCAGCATTACCAACTGGACCACCCATTCTCTCAACAACAATATCTGCAATTTTCTGAATCAAGCCACTTAAAACTGGACCAAGCTCACGAAGCCGGCACTCTAGTGATACATTATACACTCTTTTCTCAAGCTCTTGAAGTTTAGGATCAACCAAGCGGTTTACGAAAATAACTTCATAATCAAAGTTATCGGAAAGGGATACCGCTTGGAGATCCACCAACAATGGCATCTTCCCTTGTGCAACTGAATTTGAGGTAATTCCATATACGTCATAAAATCCATCCACAATTTTTTCATCATAATTTACAGCATTATAACTCTGCACATGAAAAACATAAAATTGAGTACAAGTCCTTCTTATCATAGATAATATATCATATATCTGCACATTCAAACACGCTAACAGGACATTTAAAGGGGTTACGAATAATGCTCCCCTGGATCACTATGGAGATATAGAACAAAAATCAACATTAAAATATCAAGTCTCAAAAGTTTCAACATTCCAACTCTAGAAATTCGAAACTCTCCGCTACAGGAATATAAAAACCATTTGGTAAATTTGGCGTAATGAATAAAACACAATAACTTATTGAATGAAATTCAGAATTTTATTTTATTTTCCTTTGTTGACTTCTTAGCAAAGACGCTTTTCTTATATGAGGACTCCACAACAAAACCTTCACAAAAAAAATTCAACCAAATAAGCAAAAACAATTAATTGATACATATGAAGAAATCTTCGTCATTAACCAGAGTAAGGATTTCCAAAAATGAAAATTATACTCAGTTATACACCAAACATAGAATATCAAAATTCCATAACAATATAAGAACGACATAATGCTAAAGCCAAGGGTTGGGCTTCACAGCAAAAGTCCTTATATTTCAACTAAGAGGTCAAAGATTCAAATCCAGGCTCGAAGCAACCAACTAGGGATATTATATCCCTGTAGGGTTTTAAACTCCTTGCATACGTAAGGAGAAGGTCAAGGGATTTAAACGTTCTACAGCAAAATGGGTTATTATTTTCTTGGTACAAACATTTCCCATACAAAGACCATGGCATTATGCTACCAAAAAGTTACTCTGAGCAAGTTAATCATAGTCCAATACACAGCTTCAACTACACTCGTATGCCAATTGAATTCATCCACACAAATGAGATCCACAAATTCGCATAGAAACCATTACCATAACTCTAAAACTTGGGAATTCAATCACGATCCGAAATAACCATATAACTCGCTAGTGGACTAAAAATACCAAATTAAAATCATACAAATTTACCCTATATACAAAACTACTTATAAAATCAAGCATAGGCAGTTACCCTAAAAACGAAATTAATTCAGAAGCACATTCCAAAAGGAAATGACTAAAAATGCAACAATAAGATCCACAGTCCCAGACCTAATTAATCAACAATACAGAATTAAACTAAAACATCCAAAGAAAAGCATACCCAATATCGAAGCGAGAGAAACTCGACGAGAGCATCAGTGTCAGTAACCGAAGCCGACCGGCAACCGAGGCTCATCCGCTTAGCGGTGTCGATCTGAGCGGATTCAGCCTCCTCTCTCACGTCTGGATCGGACGCGCTTATCGCTAAAGCCAACTGTACCTGAAACTCCTCTTCCAAGAAATTATAATCAATTCCACTCTCCCCTTCCGTCCGATCACCAACCGCCGATTCAACCGCTCCGATTCTCCCCATTGTTCCCGAACCCGAAGACGAAGTCGATGAAGACGGGTTGGGACTCGGATTAGGGCTCGGGTTTAACACGGGCTGCGTCTCACCCAGCCTCTGGTGCTCATTTAACCCGCCGCCGATGTGGAGTTTTCTTAGTAGATGCTTCACTTTCGACATCGATGATCATTAACGATGACTTGTTCTCTCTCTTAAAGGTTTTTTTTTTCTTTTTTTTTTTTTTTTTCTCCCTCTTCTTATCGCTTCTGGCTTAACGTACGCCCCCTAATAAGAAAAGAAAGAAAGGCAGATTCGCTTAACCTGCGCACCCTTCTTCGTCAAGCTACCTCCTCTTGAGAGACTTAAATTAACCGCTCACCCATTCCCTCCAATACGCTGTCTCACTCTATCTGACCCCCCCAATATTATTGTACTATTGTATTTTACTAACCATTTTATAATGTCAATCAAGTCAAGCTTTCTTACTACAATTATAACCTGTGTAAACCCTACGTTGCCTTCCCTGGACCTCTTTCGATTTATGGGATTTAAATTTAGTAGGAGGGAGTGTGCAGTGTAAAAGGAGCACTCACCCGCATGGGATAATTGTGCACTATCGACGTGAAGATTTGGGGCGGCTATTCATAGTAACGAGAGGCTTGTGACTTTGTAAATTCCTTTTGACTCATAATTTAGTTCGGGTGATTCTGGTAATTAAAATTTGTTAAATTAAGGTATTTAAAAGTAGAGTAAACGAAATTTTCCCACCCAAGGTTTGGCCAATCTTTGTGCCCCCCCCAAGGTTTTATAAATTACTAATTTTTACCCTTAAACTAACTTAAAACTGTTTTATCTAACAATTAAAAAGGTAAAAGGGTCATTTTAAAGATAAAAATTTCAAAATAACTTTTCACTTCTCAAATTCACTCCACCGGCAATTTCAGATCATTTTCGCCTATTCCCGATGCAATCAACCCTTCTCAATACCACCATTACAATCCCCTCAACCCCCATATTAAAACTCGTAACCTCCTCGCCTGATTGAACCCCCCAATCGCCGAAACCCCTCAATCGTCAATTGCCGCTCTTAGCATCAGTCGGCATTTCATCCAAATTCTGGCAAACCCTAGCACAGGAAACCACCCCCAACACCACCAATAGCATCACCGGCTTCCCCCCATCAAAACCCTTATCATTGTAGACCGCAATTGCTCGTCGATCATCGCCACTTCTCCCTTAGGTTTTTGTGTTTTGTCACGACCTTCCAGCCAAATTTCAGTATCTCCCCAAGGTGCAATCGGGTGGAAAAGTTAGGGGTTTTGGTGAGGAGGATAAAGGGATGGTAATGATAATGTTGGGGAGGTCCAATGGTGCCGGAATCAGGTCGGATTTTTGGCTTAGCCAGGATCTCCTCTGGGGGTTATTTGAGAGAAATTTGAGATTTAGTGGTCATTTTGAGAGAAAAGTAACAGTGTTAATTTAATGGTGAAAATTTATAATTTATGAAACCATGGGTGGGAACTGGAGATTGGCCAAACCTTGGGTGGGAAAATATGGTTTACTCTTAAAAGTAATAAAATTGGATGGGTTAGCACGTGTACAGGAGGGGTAAAGCCCCAACGAAAGGAGGCGAAGAAAACCAGACAGAATATTAAATGAAGCTTGAAAAGAATATCCGATTAGGTGAGAAAGAATGTACATACTCCATTCCATTGGATCTTTTTTTTTTTTTTTAATATCAAAATGTTTAATGTAATAGTAGGAATGGAAGGGTTGATGGAGAGGCTTTTTCTATCACAAAAAGAAATGAGGACATGGAAATAGAAACAATAACGTATTGGAAAACTACAGGCTGAGCTGAGAGAAGTGATGTAACATATTTAGAGTATGGATAAGTATTTCCCCATAATACACGACCGTTTTTGTCTCATTCAAAAAACCCTTTAAACATCTGACACCAATCCAAAATTAGCATACTTCTTCTCTTCTAGAAGTCCAGATATTTCTACGCTCTTAAGAGGCATTTGCCTATTCCAATAAAATATTATTGTAAGAATATATTGGACTTTCGATTATACAGCATCATTGGCCTGCCTTCTACTATAATCTAATCACAGCCATTTCCGACCAAAATGCAGGGAGGATAGGGAGTTTAGGGGTGAAATCGAGTCGGTAAATCTAACTCGACTCGATCATTGCTATACCAAATTCGAATTCGAACCTAATTGAGTTTGAAAAATCAAGTTCGAACTCGAACCCAGTACTTGAAATTGGAAATTGAGTTCGTATAATCAAGTTTTTTTCAAGTTTTATTCCAATTAAGTTCATCTAACAGGGGTGAATTTACAAATTTTATAACTTTTAAATTACATATGACCCCTATTACTTTAAAAACTATCAACTTAATCATTGAGTTTAGAAATACTCGTAAGCATATCAAGTCGAGTTCTACTGTGATTGAACTCGACTCGATTAACTACTCGAACTTGATTTGACTAATGCCGAGTTGAGTTTGAGTAGCTCACAAGCGACTCGACTCGATTTTTATCCCTAATAGGGATTATGTTGTATTCACTTGTATAACATTAAACATTGAAAAAACGTCTTTTTTTGGGTTCGTTTGTTTTATTATTTTGGATAGGATTTTGGGAATAATATTGGGTAGTTGAATGAGGGAGTATTACGAGGTAAAATTTAAAAATTTATTAAAAAAAACCCCCTAGGTTTGCTAATTTAACTAAATACCCCAATATATAAAAATGTTGTAAAATGACAAAAACACCCCCATCCACTCACAGTGCTAGATTCCGACCACCATCGTTGGAATCTGGCCGAAAAAGGGTGTTACAACGCAGACCGGTCGGATCTGGCGGGTAGGGCGTCGCTATAGCATTTTCCGACCAGATCTGACCGTCAACAGTCGCAAAAGTTCAGATCTAACGACCAAAGATATGACCGTCATTGTCTATCAATGATGACCAAGATTTGGCTGTTGTTGACCGTCAATGACGACCATTTCTTTGGTTGTTGCTGACGGCCAGATCTGGCATTTTCTGATCAGATCGGTGAATTACTGACCAGTTTTGATCGTTTATAGGCCGTTGTGATAGATTCCAACTACCACCGATAGTGGTTACCAGAATCTGACAAGTATGGGTGAATGAGAATATTTTTGTTAATTTTTAAACTTTTTTTTTGAAAGTATTTAATGAAATTAATAAACTTAAAAGATCTAAAAATAATTAAAAAATATACTAATATTTTTTAAATAACAAAATTAACAAGTATTTTGAAAATATAGGTAGAAATAATAAGTTAAACGGAGCCAAAAATTTGCATGCTCTAGTCTATTTTCACATTTTAAGTAGACAAAATTATATTTTTCTTTATCCTCTATGGAAGGGATAAATGTCTGAACAGCAGACAGCAGATTTAGCAGGGAGTCAGAGATGGGTGAAGAATCTAGCTGTGATTTGACTTGAGTCATGAAAGCTTCAGTGTTACACACAGCTGGCATGGCAAAATGCCAACTGGGGTTTGACCCTCCCAGCCTCATACAGTTTAGACTTTTTTTGGGACACTAATTTTCTGAGTTCTCGTATGTGTGTCTATAACTTTAGGAAAAAAAAGAAAAGAAAAAAAGCGTATAGTAACCATTAGCCATAGAGAAATGAAGACTGAAGAGAAGAAAAGAGCAATAACAATTACAGTATGTGAGTTGCAATCAGCAACAACTGTTATTAAAGCAGAGCAGCTTATCACCAGTAAATCAAGGGAAGGAAAGTCAATAGCTGCACTGGGGCATAGGGCTAGGTATTAATAACTTATATACAAACGACATCATAGAGATAGGCCTTTCAACTTCCATATTCTTCAAGAAACCTTGCATCAAACAGAGGGCACAGTGATGAAGACTAAGCAGTAGCTGCTGCCTGTTCCTCGGCATAATGTGAAGCTGGTTGAAGGGTGCAGATTAGGTTGCGGTCACCGTAAACATTATCGACACGCCCTGAAAGCAATCCCCAAAGTCAAGTTTCATTAATAATCAATCAGGGTACTGAAATGCACATGGATACTTTAATGCAATGTTTCTATTGTACAAGCCATTCAATGAGCAGTCACATTTTTAAGTGGAGCCTATGGAATTTAAAATTAAAAAAAATAAAAAATAAAAAACTACAGTAAATTTAAAGGTCCCATGTAAAAAGTGATTGCAGTCTGATGTAGCCCACTGTATTATTCATGGCTGTTGTTCTGATTATCAATAAGGAAACTGAACTTGGAAATGCAAAAATAGTAAGATGGAAATGCATACCAGTACTAGGCCAGAACTTAGCAGCGCGGAGCCAGGAAGCGGGGAAGGCTGCATATTCCCTAGAGTATGGTTTTGTCCATGCATCTCCCATGAGCAAAGATGGTGGATGAGGTGCTCCCTGCACTTGCTCAAGTTAGATAATAGATTTAAAAGTTCATGAACTAAACTATAATTCTACAAAGAACTAAGAAACGGAATCATCAATTCTAGTAGCTATGTAACCGAAGAAACAACCAGGGTGAGAAAAACAAGCCTTCACCTTCAGGACATTGTTGTGGATATCAGCCTTTCCTTTCTCAATCTGTGCAATTTCTTCCCTAATGGAGATAAGAGCATCACAATACCTGTCTAACTCTGCCTGCAAATATATTGAATTATGTGAGGAAGAGAGAGAGAAAGAGAAAGACTTAACAGAGAACAGATTGTTAACAAGTCATACCTTGCTTTCACTTTCAGTTGGCTCAATCATGAGTGTGCCTGGAACAGGCCATGACATTGTTGGTCCATGGAATCCATAGTCTATCAGACGCTTGGCAACATCTTCAGGCTCTATCCCAGCAGTATTCTGCAAAAATAATGGTGTGCATTCAGTCATGGAAACAAGTGGATAAAAGAGAAAATTAATTACAACATTCGTGCAGAAAGAATAACCTTAAACGGTCTAAAGTCCACAATGAATTCATGAGCACATGTTCCATTGAAACTGCGGAAAAGAATGGGATAATGGTTCTGGAAAAGCAAAGCAATCACCAACAAAATATTAAGTAACAAAACCATAATAATCCAGAATTTAACTTCAATGGAAAGCAATATAAAAGGTAAACCAATAATATGAGTCCCACGCACACACGATTTCCTTTTAGGAAAAAGTAAGTTTGAGCATAGAGTTTTGTCATCTTGACAAATAGAACTTTGACAAAAGAGTGACTATGTATGAGCCGGCATTGCACCCACCAAATTTATAATTGCAGATCATAAAGCAAAAGACACAAGGGAAAGCTAGGAACCTCCAAACGTTTTGCCATGTAGTTTGCATTCAGAATAGCTGTCTTAGAAGCATCAGTAAGTCCCTCAGACCCCATCATGGCTATGTAAGTATAAGAGATTGGCAAGATAAGTGCAGAGCCCCAAGGTGCAGCTGAAATGGCACCCAGGGGTTGGGTCTTCTCAGGGGCAGGTATTCCACCAGTGGGTACCTTCATGACAACAAAAAAGTTAAAACTGAATGACAAGTATATTGCAGCAACAGAACGCATTACCATTAATAAGGTAATCTCAATTCACTAATAAAACTTAATGATCCTAGGAGTAGAATCTTTCAACCATTCGAGGTCATTTCATTTGTTAACAATAAGAAAGATACTGAAACAATAAGAGGTAATGCATGGTCTGGCTGTGTATATGTCAACACTAGTAAAAGAGAAGGCTCCATCGGAACAACTTATTTCAAGGAAGCATGCATTTCTTATCCTCTGTTGCTTCTTCATATTAAATGTGATAAGCCTCAATAAAACTCAATGTAAACAGATAATAATACACATATTTAAATATTAATTTTTATATAAGTAGTCAAAAATCAAATTCACTGATGCAATGTTTTTCCACACAAAAAAATACACATGATGCAAAGAAAGAAGGGTGAAAAAGTATGAAGTTGTAAATATAGATGGTAAACGTAAGAGAGCATGTACCACTGGATGTGAAGGCAGAAAAGGTGCCAAATGTTTCTTCACACCAATAGGACCCATACCAGGACCGCCACCTCCATGAGGAATGCAAAATGTTTTGTGAAGATTGAGGTGGCAAACATCCGCTCCAATGTACCCAGGGCTTGTCAGACCAACCTGTGAAAGCAAATATTTTCTCAGACTTTTTTTTTAACCTTGATGGAATGAGGAAATTTTCTCATTCTTGTATTTGAAGAGTTTATTTACATAAAAAAATATTAGAAGTTTCACTACTATAAGATGTAGAGATGCCTACAAAAGGTAACATTCAAATGACACAATGCAGAAGAAGATCTTTCGTATCAACATTATGATCAGATAAGCTTTACATAAATTAAATCTGCAAGTTTAAATTCTAACTCCCATCTAACCCACAGAGGCAGAGACCAACCCCTTTTCCCCACTTTATCCAAAAATAGATGCATTTAAATTAATTGAAATTCAAGCAAATAATATGGTATGCTTGAGAATTGAAATCAACATGTAAATAGGAGTTCATAGGAACAGAGAAGGAATACAGACCTGAGCATTCATGTTAGCCCCATCCATGTATACTTGGCCTCCATTATCATGAATTATCTTACATATCTCATCTATACCTTCCTCATAGATTCCAAGAGTTGAAGGGTATGTGACCTGAAATTTAGATTAAAATCAGATTAAAACCGAAATTGCACCAGGCAGGCATTTCATAATCCCCTAGTTTCTTCAATGATTTCTATCCTTGGAAGGCATAACTTCCAGTTCAGGATGCAAAAATCCATACCATAAGAGCTGATAGGTTATCCTTATTAGCTTCTGCAGCCTTCCTTAACTGTTCAATGTTGATGTTCCCCTTTGCATCTGTTCCAACAGCGACAATCTTCATCCCGCACATTGCAGCACTAGCAGGATTTGTCCCGTGCGCAGAAACAGGTATAATGCATACATTACGGTGATGGTCTCCTCTTGACTACAGTTTTCAAGTCAAATCATTGTAAGAAAACAAAAGAGTGTTTCGGGAGATGTTAGTGAGGTTTTATGAATTCAAGATAGTCACAAAAGAATACAGCAAGAATTTAAAAAAAGAAAAAAAAAAAAAAAAATCCTGCCAACAAGATTGCATATTCCCCGTATTCACATACCATGAGCTCTGCATTAGATTATAGTCAGGCCATGGATATTAAAAAGGCCCTTCTGAATGAATTTAAAGAGATCCCTATTTTATATACTTGATGTGCACAAGGCTCTTTATTTATATTGTGCTAATTAGAAATCCTGGTGAAGCTTGAAAAGAATATCCGATTAGGTGAGAAAGAATGTACATACTCCATTCCATTGGATCTTTTTTTTTTTTTTTAATATCAAAATGTTTAATGTAATAGTAGGAATGGAAGGGTTGATGGAGAGGCTTTTTCTATCACAAAAAGAAATGAGGACATGGAAATAGAAACAATAACGTATTGGAAAACTACAGGCTGAGCTGAGAGAAGTGATGTAACATATTTAGAGTATGGATAAGTATTTCCCCATAATACACGACCGTTTTTGTCTCATTCAAAAAACCCTTTAAACATCTGACACCAATCCAAAATTAGCATACTTCTTCTCTTCTAGAAGTCCAGATATTTCTGCGCTCTTAAGAAGCATTCGCCTATTCCAATAAAATATTATTGTAACTTTTGATTATACAACATCATTGACCTGCCTTCTACTGTAATCTAATCACAACCATTTCCGACTAAAATGCAGGGAGGATAGGGAATTTAGGGGTGAAATTGAGTCGGTAAATCTAACTTGACTCAATCACTATATACCAAATTCGAGTTTGAACCTAATCAAGTTTGAAAAATCAAGTTTGAACTCGAATTCGGTACTTAAAATTAGAATTTAAGTTCGTATAATCGAGCTTTTTTCGAGCCCAAATTCATTTGATAAAAGTGGATTTACAAATTTTATAATTTTTAAATTATATATGACTCCTATTACTTTAAAAACTATCAATTTAATTATCGACTTTAGAAATACTCGCGAACATATTAAGTCGAATTCTACTGTGATCGAACTCAACTCGATTAATTACTCGAACTTGACTTGACTAATGCCGAGTCGAGTTTGAGTGACTCACAAACAGCTTGACTCGATTTTCATCCCTAATAGGGATTATGTTGTATTCACTTGTATAAACATTAAACATTGAAAAAACGTATTTTTTTTTATTTTTTATACTCTAGTCTATTTTCAAATTTTAAGTATACAAAATTATCTTTTTCTTTGTCCTCTATGGAAGGGATAAAATGTCTGAACAGCAGATAGTAGATTTAGCAGGGAGTCAGAGATGGGTGAAGAATCTAGCTGTGATTTGACTTGAGTCATGAAAGCTTCAGTGTTACACACAGCTGGCATTGCAAAATGCCAACTGGGGTTTGACTCTCTCCCCCCAACCTTACAGTTTAGACTTTTTTTGGAACGCTAATTTTCTTCATTACCTAGATGAGTTCTCGTATATGTGCCTATAATTTTGGAAAAAAAAAAAAAGGCGTATAGTAAGCATTAGCCATAGAGAAATGAAAACTGAAGAGAAGAAAAGAGCAATAACAATTACAGTATCTGAGTTGCAATCAGCAACAACTGTTATTAAAGCAGAGCAGCTTATCACCAGCACATCAAGGGAAGGAAAGTCAATAGCTGCACTGGGGCATAAGGCTAGGTATAGATAACTTATATACAAACGACATCATGGAGATAGGTCTTTCAACTTCCATCTTCTTCAAGAAACCTTGCATCAAAGAGAGGGCACAGTGATGAAGACTAAGCAGTAGCTGCTGCCTGTTCCTCGGCATAATGTGAAGCTGGTTGAAGGGTGCAGATTAGGTTGCGGTCACCGTAAACATTATCGACACGCCCTGAAAGCAATCCCCAAAGTCAAGTTTCATTAATAATCAATCAGGGTACTGAAATGCACATGGACACTTTAATGCAATGTTTCTATTGTACAAGCCATTCAATGAGCAATCACATTTTTAAGTGGAGCCTGTGGAATTTAAAATTAAAAAAAATAAAAAATAAAAAACTACAGTAAATTTAAAGGTCCCATGTAAAAAATGATTGCAGTCTGATGTAGCCCACTGTATTATTCATGGCTGTTGTTCTGATTATCAATAAGGAAACTGAACTTGGAAATGCAAAAATAGTAAGATGGAAATGCATACCAGTACTAGGCCAGAACTTAGCAGCGCGGAGCCAGGAAGCGGGGAAGGCTGCATATTCCCTAGAGTATGGTTTTGTCCATGCATCTCCCATGAGCAAAGATGGTGGATGAGGTGCTCCCTGCACTTGCTCAAGTTAGATAATAGATTTAAAAGTTCATGAACTAAACTATAATTCTACAAAGAACTAAGAAACGGAATCATCAATTCTAGTAGCTATGTAACCGAAGAAACAACCAGGGTGAGAAAAACAAGCCTTCACCTTCAGGACATTGTTGTGGATATCAGCCTTTCCTTTCTCAATCTGTGCAATTTCTTCCCTAATGGAGATAAGAGCATCACAATACCTGTCTAACTCTGCCTGCAAATATATTGAATTTTGTGAGGAAGAGAGAGAGAAAGAGAAAGACTTAACAGAGAACAGATTGTTAACAAGTCATACCTTGCTTTCACTTTCAGTTGGCTCAATCATGAGTGTGCCTGGAACAGGCCATGACATTGTTGGTCCATGGAATCCATAGTCTATCAGACGCTTGGCAACATCTTCAGGCTCTATCCCAGCAGTATTCTGCAAAAGTAACAGCGTGCATTCAGTCATGGAAACAAGTGGATAAAAGAGAAATTTAATTACAACATTCGTGCAGAAAGAATAACCTTAAACGCTCTAAAGTCCACAATGAATTCATGAGCACATGTTCCATTGAAACTGCGGAAAAGAATGGGATAATGGTTCTGGAAAAGCAAAGCAATCACCAACAAAATATTAAGTAACAAAACCATAATAATCCAGAATTTAACTTCAATGGAAAGCAATATAAAAGGTAAACCAATAATATGAGTCCCACGCACACACGATTTCCTTTTAGGAAAAAGTAAGTTTGAGCATAGAGTTTTGTCATCTTGACAAATAGAACTTTGACAAAAGAGTGACTATGTATGAGCCGGCATTGCACCCACCAAATTTATAATTACAGATCATAAAGCAAAAGACACAAGGGAAAGCTAGGAACCTCCAAACGTTTTGCCATGTAGTTTGCATTCAGAATAGCTGTCTTAGAAGCATCAGTAAGTCCCTCAGACCCCATCATGGCTATGTAAGTATAAGAGATTGGCAAGATAAGTGCAGAGCCCCAAGGTGCAGCTGAAATGGCACCCAGGGGTTGGGTCTTCTCAGGGGCAGGTATTCCACCAGTGGGTACCTTCATGACAACAAAAAAGTTAAAACTGAATGACAAGTATATTGCAGCAACAGAACGCATTACCATTAATAAGGTAATCTCAATTCACTAATAAAACTTAATGATCCTAGGAGTAGAATCTTTCAACCATTCGAGGTCATTTCATTTGTTAACAATAAGAAAGATACTGAAACAATAAGAGGTAATGCATGGTCTGGCTGTGTATATGTCAACACTAGTAAAAGAGAAGGCTCCATCGGAACAACTTATTTCAAGGAAGCATGCATTTCTTATCCTCTGTTGCTTCTTCATATTAAATGTGATAAGCCTCAATAAAACTCAATGTAAACAGATAATAATACACATATTTAAATATTAATTTTTATATAAGTAGTCAAAAATCAAATTCACTGATGCAATGTTTTTCCACACAAAAAAATACACATGATGCAAAGAAAGAAGGGTGAAAAAGTATGAAGTTGTAAATATAGATGGTAAACGTAAGAGAGCATGTACCACTGGATGTGAAGGCAGAAAAGGTGCCAAATGTTTCTTCACACCAATAGGACCCATACCAGGACCGCCACCTCCATGAGGAATGCAAAATGTTTTGTGAAGATTGAGGTGGCAAACATCCGCTCCAATGTACCCAGGGCTTGTCAGACCAACCTGTGAAAGCAAATATTTTCTCAGACTTTTTTTTTAACCTTGATGGAATGAGGAAATTTTCTCATTCTTGTATTTGAAGAGTTTATTTACATAAAAAAATATTAGAAGTTTCACTACTATAAGATGTAGAGATGCCTACAAAAGGTAACATTCAAATGACACAATGCAGAAGAAGATCTTTCGTATCAACATTATGATCAGATAAGCTTTACATAAATTAAATCTGCAAGTTTAAATTCTAACTCCCATCTAACCCACAGAGGCAGAGACCAACCCCTTTTCCCCACTTTATCCAAAAATAGATGCATTTAAATTAATTGAAATTCAAGCAAATAATATGGTATGCTTGAGAATTGAAATCAACATGTAAATAGGAGTTCATAGGAACAGAGAAGGAATACAGACCTGAGCATTCATGTTAGCCCCATCCATGTATACTTGGCCTCCATTATCATGAATTATCTTACATATCTCATCTATACCTTCCTCATAGATTCCAAGAGTTGAAGGGTATGTGACCTGAAATTTAGATTAAAATCAGATTAAAACCGAAATTGCACCAGACAAGCATTTCAAAATCCCCTAGTTTCTTCAATGATTTCTATCCTTGGAAGACATAACTTCCAGTTCAGGATGCAAAAATCCATACCATAAGAGCTGATAGGTTATCCTTATTAGCTTCTGCAGCCTTCCTTAACTGTTCAATGTTGATGTTCCCCTTTGCATCTGTTCCAACAGCGACAATCTTCATCCCGCACATTGCAGCACTAGCAGGATTTGTCCCGTGTGCAGAAACAGGTATAATGCATACATTACGGTGATGGTCTCCTCTTGACTACAGTTTTCAAGTCAAATCATTGTAAGAAAACAAAAGAGTGTTTCGGGAGATGTTAGTGAGGTTTTATGAATTCAAGATAGTCACAAAAGAATACAGCAAGAATTTAAAAAAAGAAAAAAAAAAAAAAAAATCCTGCCAACAAGATTGCATATTCCCCGTATTCACATACCATGAGCTCTGCATTAGATTATAGTCAGGCCATGGATATTAAAAAGGCCCTTCTGAATGAATTTAAAGAGATCCCTATTTTATATACTTGATGTGCACAAGGCTCTTTATTTATATTGTGCTAATTAGGAAGCTTAACCTGAAAGACTGACTAAAACATTTTTTCTTTTTCTTTCTTCTCTTTTTTTTTTTTTTTTTTTTTTTTTTGGTTTTTCTGGGCTCTGCATCAAAATGAGTTTCAGGAAGAAACCTCCGAAATGCAAAACTGCAGCTTTTCTGAAACAGGGAAGTGGAAATAGTTTGAAAACATGGATTAATTCAATGTACCTTGTGATATGCGCGGATAACCATCAGCCCAGCATACTCACCAGCAGCACCAGCATTAGGTTGCAAAGAAAAAGAATCAAAGCCAGTAATGGTACACAGAAGTTCACCCAAATCTGTAAACATTTCCTGGAAAAAACAGAAACCATATATTGTCAAGAAACAATTTACATACAACATAAGAAAAGAGCCATGCACCTGGAAGTTCCATGCCAAGAAACATGATTTTCTAATTACCTGATAACCCTGAGCCTGTTCAGCGGGGGCAAAAGGGTGGATGTTAGCGAAGTTAGGCCATGTCACTGGCATCATCTCAGTTGTTGCATTCAATTTCATTGTACAAGATCCCAATGGAATCATACTGTGGCACAATGAGAGATCCTTTGATTGTAATCGATGAATGTATCTAAGCAACTCATGCTCTGTGTGGTACCTAATGAAACAATATATGTAAGTCAGAGTGTCCTCTAAATCGTGAACAATCAGTGGTTTGAAAATTAAAAAAGATTATACATGTTAAAGATGGGGTGTGTCAGAAATGGGCTCTCCCTTGTTAGCCCAGAAGGAATTGCACTCTGAACCTCTTCTGCAAGTGATGCGGCAGTGAATGAAACCTGGCAACTCAAACATAAAAGGTGTCGATTAAATGAAAAAAAAAAGTAATAAATTATAATTAATTTGCAACAAAATAGTTGTGATAGAAAAAACCACAATACTCACAGGTTTGCCACCAGCGAAAACTTTGAAAAGCTTATCAACATCCTCCAAGGTAGTTGTTTCATCGAAAGAAACAGTGATCTGAAAGACAACAGAACTCCAGTATCTCATTACACATGATCAAACACAACTAGCCCGCACAAAAGGCAAAAGTTATACTTACAGTGTTGGAGTCCACAACCCGGAGATTAATTTCACTTTTGTACGCAGCATGGGCAATGGCATGAGCATCCCCAGACTTCACTTTCACAGTGTCAAAGAAGGGAAGGTCCTGGACTTCCACTGTCCCAAGTTTTTTCAGCCCAAGTGCAAATGTCCCGGCAAGACCATGGACCCTTTGGGAAATGGTTTTAAGGCCCTCAGGTCCATGATAAACAGCAAACATAGCCGCCATGTTTGCAAGTAATGCCTAGATAAAACAAGATAACAACCAAAGCAAAGCTAATTCATTGAACATATGCTAAGGGAGTGCTCTGTTTGTAGAGAACATATGAAAAAACATGTTGATGGTAAAAATCTTGAGCAAGTTAGGCTGTGTCTCAAATTGTATTACAAAAACTATGGCACTTTTTCGATCTCAACATTAGCAATCCCTATAGGTTAAACATAAAAGCAATGGGATAAACAAAAATATCTTACTTGAGCAGTGCAGATGTTGCTGGTAGCCTTATCCCTGCGGATATGCTGCTCCCTTGTCTGCATCGCCATGCGGAGAGCAGGCTTCCCTGAAGAATCAACACTAACACCAATAATTCTCCCGGGCATCATCCTTTTGTACTCCTGGGAGGTAGCCAGAAATGCTGCATGAGGGCCTCCATACCCCATTGGCACACCAAACCTCTGAGCAGAGCCAACAACAATGTCAGCCCCCAATTCACCCGGAGGCTTCAACACTGTCAATGCCAACAAATCTGATGCCATAACAACCTTAACCCCATTAGCATGAGCCTTCTTAATAAAGTTCCCATAATCTAAAACTTCACCCTCAGTGCCTGGATACTGAACCAGAACCCCACAAACGTCACCCGATTTGTAATCAATATCCTTAAGATCTGAAACAACAACTTTCAGATCAAATCCGTCCGCTCTAGTAACACAAATATCAATGGTTTGAGGGTGGCAATTGCTAGCAATAATAAATGTCTTCTTCTTTCCTTTTAGTATATTATTACACATTGCCATTGCCTCAGCAGCAGCCGTTCCCTCATCAAGCAATGAGGCATTCGACATAGGCAATCCAGTAAGATCTGTGATCACTGTTTGGAAATTAAGCAAAGACTCAAGTCTTCCTTGAGATATTTCGGCTTGGTAAGGAGTGTACTGTGTGTACCAGGCCGGATTCTCCATTATATTCCTCAAAATCACAGGTGGAACAGAAGTGTTATAGTACCCCATACCAATAAATGACTTATAAACCTTGTTCTTTGATGCCAAGTATTGCATGTGTTCAATCATTTGGCTTTCAGTTAAACCTTCATCAAACTTAGAAAACTTCATTGAATCAATTCGTATAGATTTTGGCACAGTAGCATCAACAAGTGAATCAAGGTTATCAAAACCACATAACTCAGCCATTTTGGTTTGTTCTTCAGGGGTTGCTGAGTTATGGCGACGAGGGAAAGTATCACTTGGCTTCAGAGCCTCAACAGAGATGGATCGAGTTTGTGACCCGAGACCATGAACTACACCATTATAAGACACGTTTCTAGACGGTAACAAGTCTGATCTTGTATTTCTGGACACAAATGGTGACAATGAAGAGACATACCTTGAAGGTGTGCACAAAGCAGTAGACTTTGAAGAGTTCAATGATGATTCATGGTGGTGGCGGGACTGCTTCGACTCATTAACCAGGCGTTTAAGGATTGCCCGGTTCGCGACCCTCCTTGCACGTTCCATGAATGCACAGAGATAGAGCGAAACACGGGCTCTCACAAACTTAAGAATAAGAAGTTAATGAAGCAAGCAAATGGGGTTGTTGGAAAGGCAGAAGGCTACAGAGAGGTAATGTTTTTTATTTTGGTTCCATAAAAGAATGTATACGGTTGGTGGCTTGGTGATAAAGTGATAATATACTGAATTTTTTTCTACATATAAATATATAAATAGAGAGATATTAAAATAAAAAAATAAAGAATAAATTATGAGTTAAAGATGTAGTGTTAGTGGTGGATGACAACTGAGCACCTACGAAGATAAAGACAGTGCAGGAGTTATCTGTTATCATATCACATTCTGCAAAACATCAAATAAATGTATGGAAGAAATTGAAGCAGAAGAGATTGAGATTCAATGGATCAAAACGAACTTTGAAATTTTATGGTAAATATTATTTATGTTTTGAGGAAATCTGGGATTCTTTGGTGGCTGAATCTGTTTCACAACCAGTTTATCTCTATGTCTCACCTCACACACATAAAAACAAAATAAATTTTAGGGTTTAGCTTTGCCAGATATAAAGCACACAAAAATCTTTTCTTTAATTGAAATTTTGGTGTGTTTGGTTGGGTGGATTCTGTCCTGAGGATAAAATTGGAATTGGAAAATGGTTGGATCATCCTTGGGAAAAATGTCTGTGGCTGACATCTTACATCATTGTACCTATAACAAGTCAGAGTTAGTTTTGTTGCAGATACGGTTTGGTTTTGTTGGTGTGACCACAACCTTCCGATTTTGAAACCAAGGGTCACGATGAGACTATTCTATAGCAAGTCTGGTACTGTTGGAACTGGAAACAATAGGTTTGCTGTTTATTAGAGGGAATGTACTGGGGATATTTCTTACTGGCACCAAATCAAATGTAGACTAGGTTCTATGTAATTAATTAAATGATTTTCATGAACGTTTTTAATTAAATATGGCATGCTACTTCTTAAGCTAAGGAAATGATTATTGATACAGAAATACAGGATGGAGAGGCTAAAACCAGATCTTACCTACCACATTGGAATTAGATATTGAAGCGATGGAGTATCTTTGAATTTAATATAAGTAAGTTCGAGACTGGAGTAATGTCTTATTCTATCGTTAATTTAATTTAATTTAATAATATATATTTGAATGATATTTATAACCATGGTTCCTATGTGAAATTATATGTCTTTTAAGGAAACTATTTAATAAAGAGTAAAATTGTAAATAAGAATAAAATTTAGGAGTCTTATTAGAATTTGAAATATGAATCCTATTAGAAAAAGAATATCTCATATATTACCTATAAATATAGGGGTGAGAATCAATTCAAGAATATGAGAACACAATGTATTTGATGTAAGGGTTATTAAATATCATGGGTAGAGTGTTTTAGAAACTATGATCATTTCCACTTTAGGTACTAGCCGTCGAGCGTAGTTAGAAACTATAATTGTTTTTGCTCTGTTTTATGTATCAGATTTATGGTGTTGTGTACTCTTGTATATTGTATTCATGAAACTATAGTAAATTTCTCTCATTCGTAGATAGAGCTGGGCATTTGGGACTGGGCCCAAAAGCCCAGTTTCAAAACCCGGTCCTAAGACCGGTCCTTGAGAGGACCGGACCTAGGAGGCCTGGTCCCAAAACGGGACCAGGCCTAACGAGGAGGGCCCCGGCCCTCCACTGGGCCCTCCTCCAAGGCCCGGGTCTGGGCCCAAAAAATTTTGTATTTTTTCAATATAGTCCCCTACCAAATTACATAAAACCCCCTATTAATTTTAAAATAAATATAAATTACGAGGGCTAAAATAAAATTTTGCAAAATTTATAAAAAAAAAAAAAACTTTCAGGTCTAAAAAATTTATAAATTTTATAAATTTTACCCCTAAAAAATACTAAAATCCCCTTATAAAATTTTGTTTTGCCCCAAAATATAAAAAAAAATTGAGAGGAAAAAAGAAATTATCCAAACCCCATGGGACCAGGCCTAGGGCCTGGTCCAGGTCCTGATTTTTCTCATGGGCAGGGGACCAATCCCAGGCCCATGAGTGACTGGTCCCATTTGAGACCAATCCCAAACAGGCCCAGACCTGGGCCTACAAAGGACAGGTTTCTGTCCACCTCTATTCGTAGATATAGGCAGATTAGCTGAATTATATTAATATCGTATTTTTTTGTGTGATGTGATTTTATTTCTATATTATTTATTTCGAATATATATTTTCCGTTCCGTTTATCTCCTGACAATTTATTTCTTAGTTACTTCAAATTGTCACTAAGTTTGTTTGACCCGCTTCACCAAGATGTCCAGCAACAATTATTCTAAAATATTTTCTCCAAACAATTAATAAATAGGAATAGAAATAAATGACAGATTAGACTTATTATTGATTATTTAACGCCATACGCTTTCTTAATACACCCAATTTTTTTTGTAAAAGCCACACTATTATTTTAGTGAATCCTGGCGTCTCCACTTTATGGCCACCTGGCCCACCTCAAAGTTAGATTACTTCTCCGCCCAATCCAAACCCACCAATCTGGCTCTTCTCGAAAAACGCCCCCGTTTCTTGCCTCGGCTCGACACCGATAACTGTTAACTGCTAGCCCTTTGGAGTTCTTGCAAGGCACCAACCAAAACCAAAATTAGAAAATGAATTATTTGAAACTCTCCTTCCGTTCCCAATATAATTCGTAATTCAATATGCAATAACGCTGTTTTTCCTTAACAAATTCAAGTTATGTATCATAAATATTATGACATGTGATCTAATATTTCCATGCAGTGACAGATTCAGCCACTTTTTGGCCCACCCTCAATTTTTTTTTTTAATATTAATATGTAAATTTATATATTTTGACCCACCCTAAAAAAAATATTAATGGACAAAAATAGTAATGTATAATAAATTTTTATTTTAGCCCACCCTAAAAGAAATTCCTGGATCCGCTACTGTTTCCATGTCCATGTTGATCTTTGTTTCATCCATATTCCTATTAAATTTTTATTTGCAAGAATTATAATAAAATAAAATTAATATAAATAAAAAAGACCATGAAATATCATTTAATTAGAATACAATAATACTACTAATCTCAAAATGTACATCTTAACGAAATGTCATTAAACTAAAAAAAAAAAAAAATTATATGTCACTATATGTGACATTAATGTGTATATTATAAAATAATAATACATTAAATGATATGTCGATATCATATACGGTGAAACATTACTTAGGATGTGAAATTATTTACGACGAACAATATTACTCTTTAAGTAATATGCCTTTAGGACGAATAAGATTTCAAAGACTAGATTAGCCTCTAATCTTAATTTATCAGGTTAACCTTTTAAATGATATAAGATGCAATTATTATTAGTAATATACGTTTAATAAACATTTAAGTATGATTGTTGCCCATATAAATAAGAGAATTTCTTTTTTCTAATTAAATTGGAGATATTACTAGGAAAGAGTACGAATTAGTATTAACTGGCAGTTGATATGTATCATATTGTTGTGTGTGATTTTTTCGCCAAGCTCGAGCCAACTCGAGGATAAAGCTTGATCCAGAATGAGCTCGACAACTATGATTGATCGACCCAGTATAAGCTTGTCGAGCTATAGTTCAACCCAGCATAAGCTAGTCACAAACAATTCAAGGAATCATTCAATCAATCCCCAGATTACTTTAGATCCCATATATTGCGGGAATGACTGGATCAACAGTAATTACTGTGCAATCACAATGCCCAGTCGCGAGGATATCAGAATTATGATTCGAATCAGTTGTAATCCCCTAAATTTCGTTTCTTCCTTTGTACCAATCTTGTATATAAACTCTCTCAGACAATGAGGAGGGGGTTACGAATTTCAGATAAAAATCGCATTATAAGCTTTCACAACAAATACAAAAAGACAGTGGACGTAGGCTATTAACCTGGCCGAACCACTTTAAAAATCTATTTGTTCTTAGTTCATTTCATTCATATTCATCGCTGATTTTCACAAATCACGTACACATCGGTTTCGATCTTGGCAAGGTCTATCAGATCACGCTGGTTGGTGCAGAATTCTGTATCAACATTTTGGCGTTAGAAAAAGGGTCTTCGCACATATTTCAAATATTTTGGCAAACGTTTACTGCTATTTATCTGTTCCAGGACCAAAATGGTATACACCAGATCGAAAACTATCACCGAAAATCACGAGAACGTGGAAACAACCTACCAGGAGGTGCAACAGGAGAACGCTGGACACCGACCACCTGTGTCACCAACTCAACACACCGCAAACAACCAGGGGGCAGGGACGTTAGCCCTCGAGAACGACTAGCTGATGGAGATGCTCAGGACAATGGTTGCACAAGTGGTGCAACAGAACGTGGCTGAGCTGAGGAATTAACAACTAGTTGCCCAGAACCTTGACCGGCTGCGTTTCACCAATGCAACCCCAATAGTTATGAATTCTGCAGGTGGATAGTCTTTTTCATCACCGCCAAGGGGCGATCAACACCTCCAACCTCGAGGCAGCACTCCACGCACGAGCGTGAGTCCTATGAGCAAACAAACCTTGGGAGGCGACCGGGGAAGCAACCGCTGAGGGAAAGCAAAGGCAATGGACACCACCAAGAAGCTCAGTGATATCCCCAGCGTCAGCGTGTCAGTTTTAACCCACGCCCAAGGCAAGATCGATCTTCACAGACTCATGAAGCGAGTCATGTGCGTCAATCTGGTAATGACTGACGTTCTGGTTATGACCAAGGTCGCGAGCAACGCACCGACGAGCATGATAGCACATATCAACCCGGCCAGCATGACTCGACCTCGCGCATCAACGTGCACGCCAAAGGAGCTTCGCAAGCAACAGACTTGCAGACTCATTTGCTCGAGGTAAGGCTTAACAGAGCCAGCCAGGGTAACCAAAATGAAGACTTAGATCGCATGCAAATGATGTTTGATGATCTAAGAGCTCGCCAGAACAACCTGGCGGAGGAAGTAATAAGTTCCCCCTTTACAGAGGAAGTTCATCAGGCTTCGCTCCCATAAGGGTTCAGGGCGCCGAAAAGCAAGTTCGATAGGAGAGGGGACCCAAGAGACCATCTTGACAACTTCAATGACCTGATGGAGCTACACTAGGTCAGTGACTTAGAGAAATGCCG